TAAACCCTTTCAACCTTACACTCATATGCCCAAAAGAACCGTGCACGAAGGTGAAGTTCTCCTTGGCGAACGCGTCTCAAAACGAGGGGCGTGGCAATTTCCCCAAGGAGGCGCTGTTGGAGTATGGCGCATTGAACTCATTACGTATAGTATTGCAGTATGATACGGCACCATCAGTCATATCATCTTATGTTACAGGCTTACATGAGCTCGAGGTTGGATTGGGGCCGGCGTAGCCTAGCACATGTTCAGAAAGGGTTACTTCGGCAGTCTCATGACCTGAATACTCTGAAGCTCTTTCGGGTAGCACGCGCTTGTTTTCGGGATGAGGGGGGGAATTCCTGCCTGGAAGGGCTACTGTTGAGTCTCAGGGCATTTTTGGCAATCTTTCGCGACTCCTGCACGGTTTTACTTGGGGTTGATGCCGCACCACTTTGCCTTGACAGGTGCAAATCCCTAGATCCCCAAGCCTCCTTTTCCATTATGTACAAACATTAAGCTTGTTCAAGCGTTTTCTTTAATTACACAAACCCAAACAGTCCAAGTCCCATCATAGTAGGTACTTATAGTACCCTAAAGTATATACTATACAGTTACTTGGACCCCTTGCAAAAACTGGATGTCAACAGCTGGGACTGAAGCAAAAGCCGCTGAGAGTCTGTCCGGAGAGCGGGAAGCACTGAAGATTCAACAAGCACATAAGAAACGCAGGTCTGGCCTTCGGGCTGTTAGGGCTTAAGGCTCTTAGGCTTCTCAAAGTTCGTAGGAGAGCATGTGGGCCCCAGACCCTTGGGGAGGATCCACAAAGTAGATCCCTTCAAGTGCCCTTGGTAGTATAGGGCCCCAAATAATTAGGAGATCTACTTTCTAGATCCTCCCGGGGGTCTGGGGCTTTGGGCTTTTGAGTTTCGGTCTGGCTTTGGGGTTTGGGGTGACCGGAGTCTGTTTCGGGTCGATGAAGGCGCATGTGTGGTTGGAGGGACTCTCTGCACTTGACACCCCTTCGTAATCGTCAACTACCCAGAATTCTGGGAGGATCTAGAAAGTAGATCTCCTAATTTGGGGCCCTATACTGCTAAGGGTACTTTGTAGGAATCCCATTAAGGGATCTACTTTTTGGATCCTCCCGAAAATTCTGGGTAGGTGGGGAGTTCCGGGCTCTGGGCAGCAGCAGGCATAGACCTCACGGAAGACGCAAAACAAGCTGCAGCTCGCGAATGCTACGAGGAGGCGAGTCTTTATTGCCCACACCAGTCCCATCCGGGGACTTAGAAGACAGGAGCCATATAAATATTAATTAACATATGTGTATAGGGTCAGTGTTCTTGCTCTGCAAGCTTGGTCTACAATGGTCATACCTCTCTACTGGAATCTATTGCTTCTCTGTAGCATTCTGAATACCCTCCCTCGGCCGGTAAAGAGCTTTACTGCAGCTAGGGGGTACTTTGGCACACCTCGAAGTTTCCCTTATGGTTTCTATAGATGTACCTATTCTAGGATCTAGAGTAGGCCCTTATTCCCTTTTTTGGGGGTTCAGGTCCCCTTATAAGCCCCTTTAAACTAAAAAGGGCACCCTTTTTATTCCTAAGCTACTCTTGGGTCTAGTATTCATGAATACCTCAAAGGGATGCCTCAAAACTACAACCCAGTGAGTGATGCAAGGGCTGGGCTTGCCTGGGTTGCGGCACGGCTCCAAGGGCGGTGGGGGTGGGGACTTTGGGGGGTCGCTATGCAGCGCATATATATATATATATATATATATGTATATATATATATGTATTATAGGGTTTAGGGTTTAATTAGGGTTTTGATTGCGGCCTTTCGCCAACTTCTCCCTAAACCCGACCAGCGCCATAAATCCGATTTGATCCCCAAACCCGGCCGAACCACGAGTCGGGAATTCCGGATACCCAACGTCATACAGCCAGAAAGGATCCAGGATGGGCAGGCCCTAGGCCGTAAACCCGAAGACTCAGCACACCAAGCTTTTTTTTGCCCCCCCCCCCCCCGCCCGCGCACCCTAACTGTGAGTTGTGTTCAAACGTCTGCTGCCCGTGGTTTGATCTCTCAAACAGCAACAATCTCTGAATACTGCGCAACTCCTGTGCCCTTCACCTGCCGACCGCCCTCTTCCTTTACCATGGCCGCTGCAGTGATTGGTCAGCGGCTTGGATGCAATGCCCAACGAGGGTTGCTCCTTTTGTGCTGTTAGGCTCAGGGGCTTGCAGTTTCAGGGTAAAGATAATACAAGCCTAGAATACGTGTGACATGTGACTGCGAGCTATCAAGGAAATTGCCATCAGGTGCATAATATAGGGGCCTACCCTAAACCCTAAACCCTGCCTACATAATTGATTGCCAATTCTATTTGGCGGGCCTCCTTGTTACAATTGTAGTATAATCGGCCCCTAAACCCTACTGTAACAAGGCCCCTATAGTAGCAAAGCCGGCTCCACAGACCGGAGGCTGCTGATGGCCCTTTCAGGATTCAAGGATCCAGCATTCCAGCGTCTTTCGAAGCGCAGAGCATGCGGGAGTGTATTCAGAAGAACCCCGAAAACCACCCTGAAGGATCCCTTACAGGATCCTAAGAGGAGTCGAGACCATGTGGGTATTGGTCCATGGACAGGACAGGAATGCCGACTGCCGTTATTTTGGTGCTTTCTGAAGCCTTCCAAGCCTGGCTCCGTGACTATCCCTGAGGGTCCATGTACCTCACTAGTACATTACTTTGGCCTTAAAGGAGTCCCTCTATACTCTATGCGTACTTCAGGGCCAAGGTATATAGTATCTGTCTGCACGACTACTCAGACCACCACCACCGCCACCACCACCACCACCGCCACCGCCACCGCCACCCCCACCACCACCACCACCACCACCACCACCACCACCACCACCACCACCACCACTACGACTACTAGTCCTACTACTCCTGCTGCTGCTGCTACCTACTTCTGCTGCTACGACGACGACTACTACTACTCCTCCTCCTCCCATAGCTGCTACTACTAGTATTCCCACTCCTACTACTCCTACTACTACAGCTGCTGCTACTGCTATCACTACTGCTACGTCCACGACGCCGACGACGATTTCGACGATGACGGCATTTTGAGGACGACTACTACACTCCTTCCACTACTACTACCACGACCAAGACCGCGACTACGACTACGATCATATGCTTAAGAAATCGCTTTCTTGTCCCTAAATTCCCAACCGCGAAATCTACCGTGTGAGCGCTAAGGACCGCACCCGATATGGATCTGGAGACCTCATCGGCCCAGGAGGGAATCGTGGATGGGTTCAGCGTTGGAAGCACTGGGGGCATAACTTGCTTCGTGTAGGTTTTTCTGGTTGGTTTCTGGTGGTTTCGGTTGTAAAAGTAAGGCATCTGAGGGTAGAATGGGGATACTCTCGTTTATTTGGGCATGTGTGAGTCTACCAGCTTGACATGGAGTTTCACAGAAAGCGTAAACCCTAAGCCCTAAACCGTTTCATTTTCAGCTCCAAAATACAAGGAGCCTTCTTAGTTATAAGGATCCTGAAAAAGGTGGGGGGGCATCCGTGTATTTGGCCTTTCAGCTGGGCCGTTGTGCACGGGAAGCGTCGTCGCTTCAGCTTCATATCTAGCAGCACGTTTTGTGAAGATTATTGTTTTCCGTGTTCGCTCATGCAGCAGCAGCTTAGGCCTAGGAGGATGTTTCAAGATGAAGGCATTTGTGGTTCAGCGTTCGCTTTTGCAGGATGGCTTGGGATTTGGGTGCGGTCCTTTTCTTACCCCAGAGGGCCCATATATACACTACGGTTATGGAATTAGGCCCTAAAAGACCATCCGCATTATGGTTTTGGGACCTAATTGCCCTAAAAGACCATCCGCATTATGGTTTTGGGACCTAATTGCCCTAAAAGACCATCCGCATTATGGTTTTGGGGACCTAATTCTAGTGCGTTGCAGACCCAGCCAGGAGACGTCCCAATCGACGCTGTTGGCCCTTCGTGAGCCTGGACAGGTTCCCAATTCCTTAAGGACGAAATGGACCCTAAAAGGGTTTAAGGTTCATATACCATATAGGGATTCATAGTATATGGGTATAGGGCCCCCACTTTTAAGGGTCATTTCGTCCTTCAGGTTAGGATTTGCAAAGGTTTAGGGCTTTTAGGGGAGTCGTTCTCCGAAGAGAACCCAAGGGTGCACTTTTGGGGTGGGCTATCAGGTATCATTACCTTCCTGGCTTACTTAAAGACGGGATTGTGGGATACTTCAGCCTTACATCGTTTAGGTGCTTGTTTCGTTCCCTGAGTCCGGTTCAGCTGGGCTGGAGTCTCACTTGTGCTTCAGTTTGTTGTTACAGTTAGGGTTTAGGGTTGAGTTGAAGGATGAGATTTGGGTTTCAGCTGCAGGGTTTGAGTGTGGCGGACTTGGGCCTTACAGCTTTGGCTTTAGGATAGAGTCTTAGAGGCATCGGCGCCAAGGTTTCTGGCTTAAGCAGCTTCGATTCTTCATCCTTTCGGTTGAAAGGGCGGTCAGGAATATTTAAGTTGTACAAAGATCTTGGGATGGACGGAAGAAGCAGTGAATCTGCAGGGGTTAGGATCGATATTCGTGGCATCCTTTCTCAGAACTCTACACAATGCAAGCTAAGCTCGGGCTTTATGGAATCATACGGTTGATGATATAAATCCTGCATTACCCATAATAAGGAATATACCATAATTAATTCCCATAGTTTAGGGTCCTTAAGGTCATGCAGGATTTTTCTACCATCAACTGTAACACCCAGTGAGGCACCCACGCAAGAAATTGCAGACTCAGATCCTCGCCCACCACCAAACCTGAACTTGGGCCTGAACTGCAGACCCCCAGCTCCAGAACACCTAAACCCTAAACCCCAAACCTTAACCCTATAAGCCCTAACCCCCCAAAGCCCTAGACCCTAAACCCTAAAAGACTCCTAAAGGCCCAAAGTTCCCGCCGCGCTGACTGTTCGCAGGCCATGGTCATCGACTTCTTTGCCCCGTGGTGCAAGGCCTTGCAGGGGTTCGACTGTCATCTTGAGGAATTCATAGCAAAAACTGTGTTCCTTTAAAGAAGACCGTTCAGGGCGTTATAAAAGGTTTTCTTTTGCAGGGTTCCTGTAGTGTTTGTAGTATAGTATAGGGAGCTTTGGACAGAGGGTTTATAGTGTTCTCCAAAAGTTCTATGTGAGACTTAAGCTTAGTTTGCGGCATGCTGCGCTGCCAAAAGGGTTCTCAATGATTAGTATGGGGTTTGGGGCTATACTGTAGTGTTGCCGTATAGGACACGACAAGGAACATTTTCAATTGCCAACAGCTCAAACTTCTGTATTCGGGCTTTGAGGCTTGGAGTTCGGAGTATCGCATACCCTGTGCTTTCGAAGTTAGGCTGTAGCTGTAGGATTCGGGATTTCGAGTTGAGGGTTTGTAAGATCGGATGAACGAGGTTGGATAGCATCACAACATCAAAGAAGCGGTCGCGTCCAGGTCAGACATGGGCTCGCAACATACCCCGACGAGCGAAGCAAAGACAGGGACATTGGCACCTGGATTAGATCTTGCATGACTTGTGGTTTCAAGCAGCCCCACAAATGCAAACGTGAGGGGGTCTCCTGTTGATTCGTGCCACGCCGATTTCTCCCGGCTACCAGGCCTGCCCCAAGGCGGCGCAGAAAATGGATGAGCTCTTTGGCAGCAACAAGAAACCCCCCAAACCCTAAGCCTAAACCCTAAACCCTGGGCTTGGGTTTGCAGGAGTTTGAGGGGCTCCATGACGCCTTCTGGAGTATCCGCCCACGGCCTGGTTTGTACACCCATCACAGAAGATCGGCGACGTGTGTTCTTGCAGAATTACACTAAGCCCTCATCGCTAGAGCCTGCTATCTCGAAGCTCTGTAAACCCCAATATAGGCGTGTTAGCAACTACCTATACTATTTTGGTGGTTATGGTGTAATGGGCCCCGAAACCCTATTCTAATTATTGACGCCCCTATCTTAGTTAGATGTCCCTGAGCTCCAAGCCCCAAGCACGCTAAACCCTTGGAGGTGGTGTGTTGCTGGTCAAGGTGAAAGATGTAGCCGAGGGTCGTTCTGGACTGAGACTTAGCTACCTGGGGTGCAGGGTTACCCGAGTTACCGGAAAACCCTAAACCCTGTTCACCCTGAACCAGCTTTTACCTTTTTGAACCCTTCTTACCTTTTTGGACCCTAAACCCTATAAGCAGTGGCGACGATCCGCAGAGATTGTGGGAGCTGCCCTGATCCGAGGTTAGCAGAAAAACACAGCGGCCGTTGCCAATTTGTTCTGGTTTGCGTCGACGGCTCCATCGAGGAGGCATTGGGGGCCTATGTTTACGGTCACCAGGGTTTAGGGTTAGGGTTTAGGCTTAGGGTTGTTGCTGAGCGCAGGCCGTTTCGAGGGATGTCTTGAGCTTTGCTTGCGTTGTGATTTTAAGAACCACCTGTTTGTCAAGAGGGTCTAGGGCTTACAACGTGTAGGGTTACTCTTGTGTAAGGTAGGGCTTGTCTCACAGGTCCGAAGTGTCACCATTTTGGCGAATTTTGGTCAGATCACCAAACGAGTTCTACACTCACTAGCGAAGACGAAGCCTCCACCGTCGAAGCTCTTTGCCGAACGTTCCTGTGATCGCCACCTCAGAGACAGTGAGAGCGAGAGAGAGAGAGAGAGAGAGAGAGAGAGAGAGAGAGAGAGCGAGAGAGAGAGAGAGACAGCCATATTCCCCTAAACCCTAAACCCCCTCAACCAAACTTTCTCTATAGGGATTTCTTTGTTGTTGTTCTCTGGGAGGCCCGCAAGTTTGCAACGACCCACGGAATCCAGCGATGCATCGTCACGGCAGTCGTGGACGAGGACATGCCCCGTCGTAGTTTGGGTTTGGGGTTTAGGGTTCAGGATTTAGGGTTTAGGTTTGGGTTCAACCTTATGCTGAGGGCTTTTGCAGGGTTTAGGGTGTATAGGGATAGGGTTGAAAGGGTATCATATGGAGTTAGGGGTCGCGGGTTGCAGGCGTAAGGCTTGAGGTTTAAGAGCTAGGTTCGTTAGTTTATCGGGTTCAGGGTCTGGGGTACATCAAGAGCTTGTGGGCTCAGGATGGCTCAGGAGCAAAAACCTTTCACTGAAAACGAAGGAGAGCGAAATGTCGTCATGTGGCCTTGCTTGGGGTTCAGGGTTTAAGGAGGTTTAGGGCTTAGGGTTTAGGGTAGAGCTAAGTGTCGTGATGTGGCCTTCTTGGGAGAGCCATATGGGTCCCAAGACCCTCATTACAACCTCTCACGACCGAAGGGTTTAAGTCATGCATGTGTGTGTGTGTGTGTGTGTGTGCGTGTGCGCATATAATATATATATATATATATATATATATATGCTTATATATATATATGTATATATATACATATATATATATACACATTGTGCATGTTTATAAGACTTCGTTATGTTCAGGGCTCATGCAGTAGCGACAGGGTGTGAAGCTGGCGTCATGAGATGTATGCAATGAGTCCTTCACTCTCTCCTCAAGCTTGGGCCTTGCCATCGATTTTACCTGCAGGATGCGCCGCAAAGCTACGGCGTTTCGGGGCTGCCCCACACCACGGTGATTGCGCCGAGTGGCAAGGCACTCCCTGTTAAAGGCTCATGTCCTGTAGTCATAGTCTTCACAGTCTGCGTGGGTTAACGGTTATATAGCATCCCTATCCCAAAGGGTCCTATGTACTGTTATGGGGGACACTTCCCTAAGTCATAATAGCAGACGAAGCCGGAGCTGCTACGGTGAAAACATAATCAAATCCTAAACCTTAATCCCGAATAAATCTAAACCCTATCTATAGTAAAGCCTACCCCTGCGACCTTTCATCCGTGTGTAAAGGTCGCAAAGAATGGTAACCACACCGAAGTGACACTGCCGGATGACTTGGATGCCGCCAGCTGGCTGAAGGTTTCGGTTCTTCTTCCTGAGTGTTGAAAACTGTATGCCATAGTTTAGAAAGACTTCATCGGTTCGTTTATTCATGAAGTTGGTATGGAGTCTGTGTTAGCTTTCGGTTTGGGAATGTATCTCAGGTTGGCACTACAGGTATGCATGTGTGTGTGCACAAATGTTAATATGTATATATGTATATGTGTGTGTATATATATAGAGAGAGAGAGAGAGAGGCAGGCCTACATGCACATATGCACTCATACACATGTACATACATATACACATACATCTGGCAACAGGCACTTTTGCATCCACTTGCACTGTAATCCCTATACATATACTTACACTTTTGCAGGTACGTACACATACGTACATATATAGATGCACGTACATAGCAATACACATACATGCACTTACACGTATAGGCAGGCATATATGTATATATATATATATACACACACACACACATCCATCCAGCCATCCAACCATCCATCCATGCATGCATGCATGCGTGCTTGCGTGCGTACGGACGCCCATACATACATACACACGCGTATGCACACATACACGCGACATACATGCACGCATGCATGAATACATGAAAACACACTTGTACTTGACATATTATATATATACACATATGTACGCATGTATGTATATATATATATATACATATGTACATATATACATACATACATACACACATACATACATACATACATACATACATATGCATACATGTATGTGGATACATATGTGTGTACATGCATTTAATTTAGCATGCCCGTATATCGACTTTTCCTTTAACATGTTTTCGCTGTGCTCGTATCTTAGCATAAGGTCCTTGAGAAGCCTGCTCGGGACCGACATCTGAGCGGGTTTTGAGGTGTGCATATTACACGTTTAGATGTGTGTGGGCGCGGCACATGTTCGGCCTTCCAGCTTTGTGTTGACAGTGTGCACTTTCGGTGGGTTGCTTTGTGGCTTGGCGATTGCTAGACCCGTCATCGACAGCTTACCTTAGGCCTCAGGACCTTCTTGTTATTCTCGCTGCGGGCATTGACGATGAATGATGAAGACGATGATGCCGACCATCGTGGTTTCCACAGGTTTCACTACTTCTCCTGCTTGCTGCTAAGGCTCCTGCTCCCAGTAATGCTACGATTATTACTGATAGTGAGTAACTACTGCTAGTACTCGTAGTACTATATACCACAAATACTGAATCTATTCGGCTACTCATACCACTACCACCATGCACCATGACTACTAGCTACTAGCATAGACCACGGCGACGAGGACGACCACTCCCACTCCTACTCCGACCTTTGCTCTTGCTGATGCACCTACATTTTGTCCTACTCCTACCACTACTGCTACTCCTACTACTGCTGCTGCTAGTACATCTACTGCCACTACTACTGCTCCTCTCACTACTACTAGTCTTCCTGCTAATACTACTCTTCCTGAGAGCGCTTGCATGAGGTCTTGGGCACTGAGGAGGCCATCCTCCCGGCCCCGCGCCAGAGCCGCGTTTCGGAGGCCTGCAGCGTGATTTATGCTAAGGTTTTCCCTATGCCTCCAGGGACCTTATTATGGGGTCCTTAAGGGGTCTAGGGCCCCAACTATGAGGTCCCTGGAGGGATAGGGTTTGTTTTGCTTTACGATATAACCCCGCAGCCCTACACCAATCCACTTCAGCTGTGGTTTTTGGTTGGGGCGGGACTACATGCTGACTCCCACACGCAACAAGTATGTGCGACCCTATATTAATATAGTTATACCTAGTGTAAAATTAAAAAGGCGCACCCACGTGCGCACACTGCATACACACCGTATACACCCTAAACCTAAACCTTACACCGAATGTTCGAGGGATCCCTACAGGTTTCAAGGTATGATCGCCAAGGTTGTTGCCTTTTCTGGGTAGGGCGCTTTCGGCTCAGGAGTTCGGGTAGAGCGTGGTCGAAAAAAACTTAGGCTCAGGCTTTAGGCTTAAGAGTGTCTGTTTTTTGTTTCTAGGTTTTGGTGTCTTGGATGTAGGATGTAAGATACAGAAATGTGATATGTGGCTGGGGCTTAGGATTCGGAGGGAAGAGGAAGTCTGTAGGGGTTTATGAGGTGATGAGGAGCAAGTGTGGGATAGAATGAGAGAAGAGTTTGGGGCGGGGTTCGTTAGTTGTTTTTCTGTCTTCGAGTTTAGGGTTTAGTAGGTCTTTCTGTGTGCAGGTGAGGGTGTCGTTCCCTCCAGGCTTTGCCCCTGAACCCCAAACCACCAAACCCCTAAACCCCAAACCCCTAAACCCTCAACCCCTAAACCCCTAAACCCTAAACCCCTAAACCCTAAAACCTAAACCCCAAACCCCTAAACCCCTAAACCCCAAACCCCTAAACCCCAAACCCCTAAACCCCTAAACCCCAAACCCCTAAACCCCAAACCCCTAAACCCCCTAATTAAACCCCTAAACCACTAAACCCCCAAACCCCCAACCCCTGCACTGCCGCAGGAGTATCGCAGGTTAGAGAAGGAGGACCCCCTCTTGAAGGAAAACCCGAAGCGCCGCTCTGACTGCGCTGATGCCTTCGAAAGGGAAAGCTGAGTTTAGTGATACCCTAATGTGGCTTAGGGCGTTTAGGGTTCCGGATTTGGAGTTTAGGGTTTAGGGTTTTTGGGTTTAGGGTTTTACAGTAAACCCCATTTAGTTGGAAACCTGACTAAGGCCAAATAGTGCTGGGATTCCCCATACATTACTCTTATAAGGATTGAGGCTATTGGGTTTCCAACTTTTGGGCTTCTACTATAATTAGTGATACCCTAACGAGGAAAATTCCGTAATTGCCAAGGTTTAGACTATTCCAGGCCATGGAAGACGTTATTGGTGTTATTCCGTTCGTCCTTCTCAAGAAAGGACCGTTGAGCTGGCCTCCGTGTAATGACAACATCGTATCCACCGACACCCTAGATTATGAGGACCCCTCCATGTGGTCAAACCTTTTCAGCTTCGGATCAGAGCCCCCAAACCTGGTGGGTGGTGTAGTTCCTTTTTTGGGACTACCTTCCAGGATCCTGCCTGTAATAATGGTATTAAGCAAAAACCAGAATTACAACCCAGAGGTACTGGTAAGCCCTAGAAGCTTAAACCCGAACCTCTGTAAACCCCAAGCCCTAAACCCTAAACCCTAAACCCTAAACCCAAGCCCTAAATCCTCATGCCGAGGCTGGGTCATGTTCCCTCTGCAGCATCCGGAAGTTTGGGAGATGCCTCTCGCCAGGAGGGTACAGTAGAAGCCAGAAAGTTGGAAACCCATTACAGTAGCCTCAATCCTTAAGAGTAATGTATAGGGAATCCCAGCACTATTTGGCGTTAACCCGGTTTCCAACTTAACCTTTATGGGGATTACTGTAACGTAAAGTTTAGGGTTTCGGGTAGACCCTTCGTTTACAAGACATCAGAACAAGGATTATTATATAGTCTTATAGGAGTCGGCATCTGAGCATCATAGAGCCTTTGAAGGAAAGGGATTTATGATGAATTGGGGTTAAGGTCTGAGACTTCAAAACGTCCTCATCGGTCATCCAAGCGTGAATTATGAACCTTGCCTCGGCTGACTTGATCGCATTACTGTAACATTTGGGGGTCCTTATAATAAGGATCCTACTATTTAGGGTACTATATTAGGGTCCCCTATTTTCGGAAACTCCACAATTACTGCAGCATCTGCCGTGCATGTTCATGGCATTATGCTGCATGGGACAATCGTCCCTGTCTCCTCCTCTAGTTGCGGCGCTGCGGCACATCATATACAGCTTCTGGTCCTGTACGAATGTCAATGCGACGCTGCAATTCCTCTGAATCCTCAGCCGACCCCAAACTCACCGAATACCTGTCACATGAAGTTGATTTTCCATGTCACGTCGAATGCTAAAGCCTGAACCCTGTTTTAATATTCTCCCTGAATCCTGGACCCTGAACTATAGACCCCGAGCTCTACATCCTCAACCCCACACACTTTTGCTGAGCCTTACATAACCCTATGCTTCCAAGCACCTCATACTTCGCGCCCTAGACCCCTTCGGGACCCAGTAATGAGGTCCGTGGACCAGTGGAGGCAGAGGGTAATTCTACAACCCTGATATACTAAATCGCACACACTAACCCCCAACCCCTAACCCCTGAACCCCAAACTCCTAAGCCCCAAAACCCTAAACCCCAAAACCCCAAAACCCCTAGACCCTTTTTGTCTAAAACCTTAAGCTGCAGATACCCCCTCTTTCTAAAACCTTAAGCTGCCGGTACCCTCTTTTTCTAAAGCCTTAAGCTGCAGGTACAAGAAGCACGAAGCATCTTTCTGGACGGCGGAGGAGATCGATTTGGCTCAGGACCTTCGCCATGCTTTCAACACGAATACTTTAAGGATCATGGGACTTAGTGATTGGGGGTCCTTAAGGGGTCCCTTGAAGGGACCTATAAAGGGTACTATAAGGGTTTAGGGTTTAGGGTCTACTTAAAGGATCATGGGACTTAGTATTTGGGGTTATAAGTAAGGTAACTACAGTTATAATTTAACCCCAATTAAAATAAATATAACCCTACTTACTCAGTCCCATGATCCTCCCGGCACTGCAGGGGACTGAATAATGAGAATAGGGTTCGTTTTATCAGGGGTCTACTGTTCAGGGTTCAGCACGGATTTCTGTGGTAGAAAGTTAATATAGGGGCATCTTGCAAGCCTTATTCTAATATTTATTAAAGCCCCTATATGAACTATAGTAGAAACCAGAAAGTTGGAACATCATTATCTTCATGATTTGGAGGTAAAGCATAGGGAATCCCAGCGCTACTCGTCCTTAAACCATAATCCAGCTTTCTGGGGTTCACTGTATGGCTTCGGGTTTTTGGGGTTGATCATGGCCTGTTGGGGCACAGGGTGGGGTCAAGGCTCTATCCAAGGAGTCAGGATTCAGGTTGTGTAGGTTTCGAGGTGGGTTTAGGATACTGAACCCTACCCACTGCCAGGTGTCCGGTTCGGGGTCTCAGGATCTAATGGGGATGGCTTAGGGGTTGATGGCTTCGAGGTCAAGGCTCAGGGTACTGGAATCATAGGGATCCTTAGGGGTGTAGGGGGAGGGGGGGTAGGGGGCCTTAAGGCCCATAATAAGGACTAATAAAACCTATTTAAGGAAATATAGTCCCCTACCCCCCTCCCCCCTACACCCCTAAGGATCCCTATGATGGAATAGAACCTGACGCGACCTAAGCAGATAGAACCTTGCAGAGGCCTATCAAACAAGAGTGGTCTGGCCCGGCAGGACAGCAAGGATTGGGTGAACCTGAATGAGGGCTGGGGCCTCAGCTAAATAGAGCTTTAGAGGTACGGAAACGTGTCAAAGCTCGTTTTGGAAGGGTTTCTTGTAATGGCTTGTGATGGATGTTCATGCATCTTGGTTTAGGGTTGATTTGCGGGACTCGCTCGTATCTTTGTTTTATAGCCGTGCATCGAAGAGTGTGCTTTGGTGCAAGCGCTTAGATCGTGTGTCAAGTTTTTGGTTTAAATGTGTATTGGACATAGATTAGAAGCTGCCCCTACCCTGTAAGTGACTATAAGGATTATATTAGGGTCCTATGATATTCCTATTATACCACTATTTCAGGGTGGGGGGCCCTTCTAAGACATAGAGGTCAGGCTCAACCGCTTGCTTGGTCCTGGGTTTTGGTCACTGACATGGTAGAATTTCAGAGTAAACCGCCGACAAAACTATTGCTTCATTTCGGCAAGACCCCCTTTGTCCTCAGTAACTGAGCAGGTAGGTAACCTGCACACTGAGCACAGAACCACAAGCAAACCCTGAACACGAAAACCTAAACTACCGAATTCAAGAAATGGCTTAGTTAGTTGCGGTCCGGGAACTCAACAACAAGGTCAAACATTCCAAAGGTCACTTTTGATGGCTTAGTGGGTAACGAATCAAAGGAAGCCACCAGCCTCCTTGCCATCTCGACAGAACAACTGTGTATGTTCAAAGTTGTTGCTGATAGCCATCTCTTCTGCCTAAACCCCCTAGATCTATATATCAAAAAGATCCCGAAAAGCCTCATAAACCCAGAACACCTGCACCACCGGCTCCACAAACCGAGGCCCCTGAACGGTAAGTCCTTACATGCTGACACACTCAAATCACACCCTTGAACCCGGCACCTGCGCCCTCAACTCTGCGACCTTCAAGCCCTGCGACTTCCTATACAAATCCTAATTCCGCGACGCAGAACACCTAAATCATGAAGCCTAAACACAAACCTGAATACTCACCCTGCACCCCAACTGAAATTAATGTGGTGTCTGTGCAATTAGTGAAAGTATCTCCTTGTAGCCCCTATAACATTAATAGGTGTACTATACTCAACGCCTTGTTCTATTCATGAAGGCCCCCGCATGATCGTCAGTGAGAGGCGAGCAGCACTTCATCAAGCACGTTCTTGCCTTTTTCGCGGCCTCGGATGGCATCGTCCTGGAAAACCTGGCGTCGCAGCGGCTCGGCTTTGCTGGCGTCTTGTGGTTTATGCTCCAGGATTTGGGGCTTCGAGGGCTTGGTAACTTTTAGTACTTCAGGGGTTCGTGGTTTTGAAGGGGCTTGGACTTCGATGTTTAGTTGGATTTAGCAGTTTGCTTTGCTCGGTCTTTAGTGTATCACCTTGAGAGCTGCTGAGAGTGCGGGAGTCAGGACTAAGGCATTATAGGGCACTTTAAGGGTGTGAGGTTGGTGGCACTGATTGGGTACTGAGGTTGGGATAGAAGCTCCTAATCTCTTCCAACAGTCGAGGCAGCTCTGAGATAGAGTTTGGAGCAATGGATTCTTCAGAACGGGCCGCATCTCAGGGTGGCTTAACCGTCAGCGACGGTTTAGAGTCCATAAACCTTAAACCCTAATCCCTGCACGCTTCACAGGACAGCTCTTTAGAGTTCTGTCTGTGTCGTGCCTTTCCTCAGCGCCATATTTCCGAGCTCAGTCATGAAGCTGCAGCATTCGAGAATTGCTTTTCTTCCTAACAGAGCACACCCGAAATCCAGTAAATCTTCCACATGGGGGTCGGGGCAATCAGTACTACTTGTCCTCATTAGGGTTTTTTGTACCTGAACAAGTAGCTACATGTGTAATCTGCCCAACAGCCCTGATCGAACTACTGATGCCCCTATATGGGTGGTTGTCAAAATGAGGGTCCCTTTTGGTACCCTAAGTACTAGGTGCCGAATTATGTCATAAGGACCCAAGAAGGGGACCATAATTTTGAAAACCGCCCATATGTCAGACCAAAGGTCGAAAGACCCCAAGCCGAAAGCTTCGAAACGGCCCTTCAACGAAAACCCATATAGGGTTTAGGGTTTAGGGTATCCGGCAAACCTGCACTCCACAGCCTAGAACTCTAAACCCTAAATCCTAATCCCTGCGCCCTACAACCCCGAGAGGGTGTTCCTAAACCTTAGTGAACCCCCAAACCCTAGACCCCTACAGTTGGGCCCTAAACCCCCCGAGATTCCAATATCCTGAATTAAGGAATGTTCCTTACATCATAGTAGGATCCCTAGTAATATTTACGGTACATGTATTCCTTAAGGGATATTGGAGTCTCTGGGAACCCGGAAACCCCCATCCCTAAGCCCTCAGGTTCTCGTCGGAGATTCAAATTCCAGAGGCCCGCGCCTTTTATGGCTTCCAGATCGCCCCATGGCCCAGCGTTTGGCGCACCAACTGTAGAGAGTTCAAGGGTTCAGGGGCTTTGGGTTTAGGGGTTAGGTTCAGGGGGTTTAGTTTAGGGGTTCAGGGGTTTAGGGTGTGTGGAGGTTTTCGGGTTCAAGGTTTGTGTGTTGGCGGTTTCGGGTTTAGGGTTCCTTAACCCCATGTAACCTACCTTTTTAAGGACTTATATAAAGAAATCATATTAGGGAACCGTAAAAAGGTAGGTTCCTTAGGGTCCAGGTTTGGGCTACAGGATCAGGGAGAAAGCGGTTTAGGGCAAGTCCGAATGGTGTCCGAGGCTTTGACCGACACTTCCTTCCGGCTGATGGTATAAATCCTGCATTGCTAATAATAAGGAATATACCATAATTCCCATAGTTTAGGGTCCTTAAGGTAATGCAGGATTTATATCATCAACCGTTCGGGCTGGTATTCCTTGTGACCTGTTTGTTCCCGATGGTATGGAATTATAAATGCTGGATGTCGGGAAGGGCCCTATAAGCCCCCAACGCTGAAACCTTAAACTAAACCCTCAGCTGTCTAAGGGCTGGGATGCTGAAGCCGAAACCCTAAACCCCCTAAACCCTCATCCTTAAGCCCTAAACCCTACACCCCTAAACCCTAAACCCCTAAACTCTAAACCCTCAACGCTGGCTGGTAGAATGGAACGCCGCATGCCGATGCTGCAAGGTCCACGCAATCTAAACTCCTCGACTTGACCTTGAGCTAGTTTGTTTCGAAGGGTCTTATTCTATACTCCCCACTCTGAACAAGAGTAGGTCCGCATCCCCAAAGCCACGGGCCGCAGGCCCTGCACTTGCATCGAGCTTAACCTCTAAAGTCGCGAGCACCAAGGCAATGGAGAACATCCACTCTGAGACCTACTCCCTGCTGATTGAGCAATACATCAAGGACTTCGGGTTTTCATTGAATACCAGGCTTTTCGGGCCGAGGGTCTAGAGTTCCATGTGCCATTGAAGAGGGGTTTGCTTCCTAAGTCTTGGTCATCACAGAGCAGTGCCTGTTACCTCTAATTATAAGAAGGAGCCCCCCGAAATAGTATAGGTAATGATTAAGGCCCCTATAGTAAACCCGAAACCCGATAGACCCCTTAAAGGAACCTAATGGTGTGAGGGCTTTCTATGCACCGCTGCTTGGTGGTGCTGTTTGCCTAGCCGAAGTAACCCGTTAGCCGCCTCTAGTCTCCGTTGTGGTTGCTGTTTTGGTGTAACCGAACTTATCCTAGAATATGTAATCGGTCAACCAACACTCTTCAAGCAGACTACAATAGGCATAGTTGCCATTATAATTGCTTGACTTTTTGTCCCTACCGTGAGGCAGTCATTTGGTTCTCCCGAGGGCCCCCAGTGCTTAACTATCATGTTCCCAAGTCCTATCTTACAATAAACCCTAAACGCAAGTACCTAGTCATCAGGTAGATTAGCTCCTTTGGACCCATAACCCTATTCATCCTGAAATCATAAAGTGTGCTAAAGGACCCGAAAGAACGGGAGAACCTGTTCGATGCTATCCACACCATGCCGCCGGTGCGCGAGAAGGCACCTTTCAGTTCCCGATTCAGAGTTTAGGGCTTACTGCAGGGTTTACTGTAGAGTTTGGGGTTTTGGGTTAAGGGATTACTGTCGAGTTTAGGGTTTAAGGCTTGTTAATTAGGACTCAGAGTTTAGAGTTTAAGGGCTTAGGGTTTAGAGTTTAGGGTTTAGGGCCTAGAGTCACAGATTTACGGTTCACCCTAACCTAAACCTTAAACCCAGTGGCACTTGCGCAAATTGCCCATGTTTTTTGCCTTATCGCCTTGGAGTCGTTAGAGCCACGAAGTCATAATAATGATAATAATAATAATAATAATGATAATAATAATGATAATAATGATAATGATAATAATAATGATAATAATAATAATACTAGTACTACTACTACTAATAATAATAATAGTAGTAACACTAATGATAATATGAATAGTAATAACAATAATAAGAATACGAACAATAATAATGGTAGTATAATAATGATAACAATAATAACAATAATCATAACACCATCGGGCCGTTATAATTAGACTTGGGTTTCGGGATATATGGTATAGTTTGTAAAGAACCCCTGGTCCCTGTACTATGTATGGGCCTTGGAACTACCCAGGCTTACGCTTGGTATGGGAAGGTGTGACTTGGTTCGAAGTGATAAGTCTATGGTCTCCTTAGGAATGATTTTTCATGATTTTTAATTTTCGTTCATATAAAACCCAAGATAATATCAAATTTAAAAAGTATTTTTATTGTGGTTCTACGGGGGGAATAGAAGTAGGATTCGTGGTTTCATACGGTTTGGGGGTTTGGGGTTTAGGGCTCAGGGGCTTTGGGCTTAGGGCTAGAAACCTTAGCCAGCAGGCCTGCTACTTAGGAGAGGAAGCAGGAAGGTGAAGGATCCTCGCTGAGTTACATCCATCAACCGATAAAACTAACCCTCAAACCCTAAAGCCCTAAACCCTCAACCCAAAACCATCAACCAATAAAACCTAAAACTTACCCTGAAACCCTACACCCCTAAACTCTTAACCCTAAACTCTAAACCCTATAGACTCTATAAGCCCTAAACCCCATAAACCGAAACCCCAAGAAGGAAGCCGGAATTGAAAAATTGTGGCCCTAAACCCTAAACCCTAAATTCTGTCCAGGCACACTGGGCCGTGCAGTGGATGAACCGCGAGGCGAGCTTTGCGGAGCGCCTTGTGGCCTTTGCTGCCGTGGAGGCGTGATGTTTAGGGCTTGGGGGTTTTAGGGGTTCTAGGGGGTTGCAGTAGGGTTTAGGGATTTAGGGGTTTACGGGTTTAAGGTTCCAGGGTTTAGGGGTTTTAGGGGGTTGCGGTAGGGTTTAGGGATTTAGGGGTTTACGGGTTTAAGGTTCTAGGGTTTAGGGGTTTTAGGGGGTTGCGGTAGGGTTTGGGGATTTAGGGGTTTAAGGGTTTAAGGTTCTAGGGCTTAGGGGTTTTAGGGGGTTGCAGTAGGGTTTAGGGATTTAGGGGTTTAAGGGTTTAAGGTCTAGGGTTTAGGGGTTTTAGGGGGTTGCAGTAGGGTTTGGGGATTTAGGGGTTTAAGGGTTCAAGGTCTAGGGTTTAGGGGTTTTAGGGGGTTGCAGTAGGGTTTAGGGATTTCGGGGTTTAACGGTTTAAGGTCTAGGGTTTAGGGGTTTATAGGGGTTTAAGGTCTGGGATTTAGGGTTAGGGGTTTAAGGTCTAGAGTCTAGAGTTTAGGGTTTAGGGGTTTAAGGAGACGTAGTTTAGTCCCTGCGACTCAAGACGCAAACCTAGCTTTGCGCTTGGGTTTCCACCCCAAGCCCTCAACCCTTAACCCTATAAACCTGTAAACCCCAGTGTTGGGCACGGCCCCTGGATCCAGGGCGTGCTCTTCAGTGGATCCTTCTGCGCAATCTTCTGGCTCAAGAAGCAACTGGTCCGGCTTTGTTTTTAACCGTTGCACCTTTGCAGGTTATATAGTATAGTCTTTAAGGTCATGTTGGAGTTGCTGGTTAATGTTATTCGTAGGGTGTGACAGGCCTTAGGGATTGGAAAGTTGCATTTCATGGATTTACGGTGTATGAGGGGCTTCTCCAGCAGAAGGGTTCGGTGAGGTCTGGGTGGAGATGTATTCCTGTGGTCTGCATAGGTCTCGCGCTTCGTAGCCTGGATAGTTCAATAGTTTTATCATAGGCGCCAAAACGTCCCCAGGTCTCATTCTGCGTATCAGATCCATCTGAATCTGTTGTGTAGTGCTCCTGACTGGGGTGTGTCGCAGTCCCAGCTTCGATGCTTTCCACCTAAAAGGACGTTTTGCTGTTGATGGTTCGCTGCCTGTTTTGTCTTTGGCCATCATGCGAATCATGGGAACAATGGGTTACTGAGAGTCACAATGCCGGAATGGAGTTCGACCCTTGTCAGAAAGAGTGTCGCGGTCTGAAACACCTTGTAGTCCATTTAGGTTAGAGGAGGAAGTGCATAGAGGAAGGCGCACATTGGCTTCCCTTGATAACCGAAACTCGAAACCCTGCATCTTAAGCTTCGAAGCCCGCAATCGCCACAATCGAACACATGCAACTCCAAATACCTAGAACACCAAACCCCGACTTAAATCCCAACAGCCAAACCACCCCCCTAAACTCTAAACCCCCTTAAACCCAAAATCCCTAACTAAACCTAAACCCCACCCCCTCCCACCCCCGAAACCCTAAACCAACAGACTTCGATCCCCGATAGCTCTTTGGCAGCCCTCAGCCCAGGCGTGGCTTGATGCCCGGGCTGACTTTCTCCAACGAGTTCCCCGGCCAAAATAGGGTGTAACATAAGGGGCCGTAACACTTGATTACCTAGAATCGGGTTCATTTAAAAGGGGTCTATAAAGACGACTATAAGGATTTAGTAGAGGGGCCTTAATAATTACCATTTTGCGGGGGTTCCTTATTGCAACGATCGTATAATGTATCCCGAAAGCCTATTCTAATTGGGGTTTGATTCGGGTTGCGGGTTTACGGTGTAGGGCTGACTTTCTCCAACGGCACACCCACAGGTTTATGGTTTTGGGGTGTATAGGGCTGACTTTATCCAACGAGCCCTCGGGGCCTTCACTCAATGCTTTGCTTATTTTTGTGGATGTGCCTTTGTTGCAGGGGGGGTGCGGACACTCTTAATATCGACCCCGGTAATTGGCAATGCTATTCCGCAAGGCTCCTTTCTAACATTTTGTCTCTGCGATACCCCAAGAATCTGTTCTGAGTATCGAAACCCCAATATTAATAGTAGTAATAATAGTAGTAATAGTATTAATCGTAGTAACAATTGTCATAGTAGTAATATTATTGGGGAAACCTTCACACCGTGAGGTGCTCAAGGTTCTAGGGTTTGCGGCTTTCGAGGGTACCCAACTGCGTTACATGCGTCAACGAGGTTCAACTTGCCCAGAGACTCCAATATCCCTTAATTGATTAAGGAATATACCTTGAGTTATAGTAGGATCCCTAATCTGATTTAAGGAATATTCCTTAATTAAGGGATATTGGAGTCTCTGGGTGTGCAAGCTGAGCCCAGTACTTTAAACATCCCTAAGCTACAAGGCACTGAAACTGACACCTTCAACCCCCAAAATGTTAGTTAAGGGTTTCGATGAGGGTCTCTTTCGAACGGTTGTGTTAAGGGTGTAGGGTTTGGGAGTAGTAGAAGTGCCTTCGAAGTTAGAATAGGGTATGCATCCCCAATCCTAAGCCACCACCACAAGCACAACATCATTCCTGGTCTATTTCCCAAACACTACAGCCTACACCCTAAACCCTAAACCGTCCCTGAACCCTAAGCCCTAAAACCGTTGTCAGCCCACACCCAGATTAATGGCCTCTTACCGCCTTCAGGTTGATCTCCCGCGACGAAGGGCTCCATGCAGACTTCGCCTGCCTCTTGTACCAGATGACGCTTGGACCTGGTCTGGGGCTTTAAACCCCAAAACCCGAAAAATCCCAAACCCTAAACCCTAAAGCCAGGTTCTTAAACCTGAAAGCTGGAGCCGAGTCTCATATTCGGAATCGGACTTGGGGTTTATGTTGGAGCTAACATGGCTGGTCTGTAGTGTCGGTGCTCAACGGTATGAGTCTGCTGGCAGTTATAAGAGCGCAGAAGCAGAGCACCGACACGCTCCGCAGGATGCGAGTTTTGTGAAGTGTTCGTTGTGCTCCTGGCATTGCCTTTAGCCTTTGGCGGTTCCCGAAGCATGAGTCTGCTAAAGAGGTTTGAGTACATAATGAATGTCCCGACCTGGCCGCTGCAGACCTAAGCACTAAACCCCTAACCTCCGTAAAACCGAGGCAGAGCTCCCCTTACCTTTGGTAAGTAGGGAATGGAGGAATGGGGTACAATTAGAACTATATACTACTACTACTACCACTACTACTACTACTACCACCACTACTACTACTACTACTACTACTACTACTACTACTACTACTACTACTACCACGACTACTACTACTACTACTACCACCACCACGACTACTACTACTACTACTGTGGATGGAGGAAATCTTGCACCACTTTTAAGATATGTTAGTTAGCTTCACCCCGCGCCCCCTTCTTAACATTGCTATGAACACGGGGATTTACAAAATCGTTCCAATGACATAAATCTTGCACCGCCCCAAGAGGTCTGTCGTCAATGTTAAGAAGGGGGCGCGGGGTTGTTGCTTGGATGTGTATTCGAAACAAGATGTGTAGGTGGTGCAAGATTTCCTCCATCCACCGACTCGAGTAATGACGTTTCTAGAGGCTCGTGATATGACGTTTCTAGAGGGTCGTGACATGGTGCGTGACGTACTTGTGTGGCTTGCCATGAAATGCCATTGCAGCAAAATCTGAATCGCCGTATAGTATAGCAGCGTCCATGTCGCTGTCTTCGCTAATGGAGCCATGCAGCCCTGACAGTGCATCTTGCGCAGCAGCCAGGTCATTCTAAAATCGCAAGAATTCCACAACTTTGCTACATTTGGTAGGAATTTGCAGTTAACGTACAGTCAACGTTCAGTTAACGTTCAGTCAACGTTACAGTCAACGTTCCAGTTAACGTTGCGAAAATGCTGGCAGGGGCAGCATTTTGGAGTTTTCAAGCATAAAAAGCAAGAAATACATGTATTTCTTGCTTTTTATGCTTGAAAACTCCAAAATGCTGCCCCTGCCAGCATTTTCGCAACGTTAACTGGAACGTTGACTGTAACGTTGACTGAACGTTAACTGAACGTTGACTGTGACTTCTATGCAACGTTGCCCTGACTGGAAGTATCTGCAAGCCATGTAGGAAAGCCACGAGCAGGCCAAAGCTAGACCCCGCTCTGGGGACGACTCGAGTAATGACGTTTCTAGAGGCTCGTGATATGACGTTTCTAGAGGGTCGTGACATGGTGCGTGACGTACTTGTGTGGCTTGCCATGAAATGCCATTGCAGCAAAATCTGAATCGCCGTATAGCAGCGTCCATGTCGATGTCTTCGCTAATGGAGCCATGCAGCCCTGACAGTGCATCTTGCGCAGCAGCCAGGTCATTCTAAAATCGCAAGAATTCCACAACTTTGCTACATTTGGTAGGAATCTGCAGTTAACGTACAGTCAACGTTCAGTTAACGTTCAGTCAACGTTACAGTCAACGTTCCAGTTAACGTTGCGAAAATGCTGGCAGGGGCAGCATTTTGGAGTTTTCAAGCATAAAAAGCAAGAAATACATGTATTTCTTGCTTTTTATGCTTGAAAACTCCAAAATGCTGCCCCTGCCAGCATTTTCGCAACGTTAACTGGAACGTTGACTGTAACGTTGACTGAACGTTAACTGAACGTTGACTGTGACTTCTATGCAACGTTGCCCTGACTGGAAGTATCTGCAAGCCATGTAGGAAAGCCACGAGCAGGCCAAAGCTAGACCCCGCTCTGGGGACTGTACTACTACTACTACTACTACTACTACTACTACTACTACTACTACTACTACTACTACTACTACTACTATTACCACGACTACTACTACTACTACTACTACTACTACTACTACTACTACTACTACTACTACCACGACTACTACTACTACTACTACTACTACTACTACTACTACTACTACTACTACTACTTCTACTACTACTACTACCACCATTCTTCCATTCCCTACTGACCAAAGGTAAGTCCTTGCCATGGCTTTGGTCTGACATACCACAAGACCGTTTTCTAAGCCCCCTCGCGTGGCCCCGAAGTTGACGTAGGGCTTGAGCTGGAACCAAAGATCTGAGAAGCTTAGGGTTTAGGGTTTAGGGTTTGGGTTTAGGGCTTAGGGTTTAGGGTTTAGGGTTTAGGGTTTAGGGTTTGGGGCTTTAGGGTTTGGGTTTAGGGCTTGGGGCTTTAGGGTTTAGGGTTTAGGGTTTTGGGTTTGGGTTTAGGGTTTAGGGTTTACCTGGAGATCCTGAAACCTATTAAAAATGGGGTTATGGGACAAAACCGGGTTATTTACACGAAAACCGGGTTTTCCAAAAACCCTGAATTTCAAGCATCACAACAAACAACCCTTCGTCCTCTGTTTGATCCCTCATGCACACCATTGCAAAGCCCAAAACACACCCAACATACCTGCAACTCAAACCCTGTAAGGTCCCATAAAGATCAGAAGTAAAGCTTAATCGGGCTTTGGGTTTCTGGATTTGAAGTGGGTATGGAGGGGCTTACATGTGATCAAAGTCTCCGGTGCGGCCTTTCTGCTCCCATCGTGGCCATCGATCAGCAGAGAGAGCCGGGAGCCCAGAGGGCAGCTCAAGATGCACTGTCACACCAGTACACATACATATTTGTGCAATATTAAATGTGTATAGTGTATTCAACTTGGTGCAGTCATGAGCGCGGGACGATGTATTTCGCCTTGACGTATTGTGCATATGCAGCATAGAGATATCTCTCTATGCAGCGTTTCGAGCATGTACGGGGATCAACCCGCCTAGCCAATCGACTGCTGAAGCCAACAAAATCTTCGTCCATTTGGACGCTCCAACAGAGAGGATTGAAAGGCGAAATGCCTTTTCGGGCGGGTAGCAACAAATCCTCTAGCAGCAGGTGGTGCATGATGTGAGTTTTCGGAGTCAGCAGCCACAGCGCGCGTCCATCTTTGGCGGCTTGCTTGGCCAACCATGCCAGCCGCCGCAAAAACCGAAGCCCATCTTCAGCGATTTGTATGGCCCGCCCTGGTTCGATGAACAAGTCCGAAGCATAAAGAGCTGCGAGGCACTTGTTGATGCTCTGAATTGCCTCTGCAGCTTTTTGCAGCATGGGTTCCTGGCTCCAGTTTTGCTGGCACATGGTTGATTCCAGAAACTTGAAAACCACAGTCGTTACTGCCCCTTTGAACCAGCTGGCAGCTGGATAATCCAAGGTCGAGGGCCATTGCACAGTCTCTTTCGTGAGGCGGGTGAGCACAGGCACCTCCTTGTGTGCTCGACACCACGTGAAGAAGGCAGACTCCAATGCTTCGAATCGCAGATCCACGTTGCCTCCCGCAAAGTACGTGCTCCATAGGGCAAGGCAGCTTCCGAGAAAATGCTTGCCCACGCCTAAATGAAAAGCGTGGAAGAAATCGAACCTCAGGAGGTCTTCCTCCTGTCCACGCACCGACAGCAAGCGAGCAACAGCAGGAACTTTCACGAATCCAGAGACAGAAAAGGTTGTACCAAGCCAAAGCGGATCCCTTTCATGAACAGTTTCCCAAGGTATGCCTTCGGTCCCCGCGGCACACCTGTGACAAATCCCAGTCATCTTGTCACCAGTTTTTTTAGGAACGTTGTTGAAGCTCCTCGAAAGACAGCCGCTGCGATGAAGCCAGGGCCAATCGCCCGTGACACCAATCACTGCGAAGAAAACCTGGGTTGTTATAGACATAGTCTAGCTAGTTCTGTTTATATGTAACCTGGATATCTAATAGACAGGTTCGTTCGGTTGTTCCATGGCAGGCACTCCAATAACGAGTATAGAGAAGGTTATATCTATTTAGGAGGCAGGAGGAATCAAACAAAATGAAAAAGTTGATGCTCAAAAAATCTTCTGGACTTTGCGGCCAGTGTAGTTCTGCACAACACCATTGTTGACCATGAACTCAGCTTCAGTCGCCACACTCTCCATAAGAGCATCGAATATGTGGCTTTGCTGGTGCAGCTTCTTTGGAACTGCACAATGAAGAAGTCTTGTGACCAGGGAGCTATCCCTAAAATTCATCCGGAGCTTCAGGTATGGCCTGGGCTGTCCACATTGCTCCTGAGTTCCCTTTCCCATTAAGCTGTGGAAGTTGCCAACAAGAAACGGCGTACGGCGACGGCCCCGGCCTTCGTCTCCATGATAGACGAATGGATACGTCAGCTTTGGGTCCAATGAGCCCTGAGCAAACCGTTCATAGATCTCGTGGTCCGGATAAAGCTTCTTGTGTTTGGCCCAAAACTCTTCACATATGTTTTGCTCTCTTTTCAAGTCGGGTTTAGCCAAGCCGACCAGCAGGTGTAGGCAATGCTTGTCAGCCAGAAACTGTCCCCAATCTCGAAGCTTCAAAATGGGGAAGGCAAGGTCGTTTTCCCCGAGCATTGACAGCTGAACTGGCAAACTCAGACCAGCTTTGCACCCAAGTAACCGTGAGCCATCTCTCTCTGATCTAAACTCAGAAATTTGAGCTAGTTCCACAAGGCCTCCGCTACTTGCTGCTGCCTTTTCCCCGATGTCTGAGACCACATCCCGCGCAGTGCGTATCGCGGATCGGTAGCTGGCCTCGGCGAGCGGTTTGCGATATAGTATATACATCATGTGCATGGTCATGGTACATGCAGTCACACAGCTCGAGCGTGCAGAAGCAATCCCATGCGTGCAGTGCAGCACACTGTTTTGTCACTAGCACACCACAGCTGCAGCGCTTTGATGGCCGCTTGCATGTGGGAGGCTTTTGCAAAGACTTGTAGACTACATATGTCATATATCTGCTCACCGAGGTAGACTGCTCCGGGTTCATGGTATCGCCGCCCAATCTGATATTTCGACATCCAGGCTTGCCTTAGATGGGTTACCAGTGCACATCATGCATACAGACACATGGTCACATGGGTTAGAGAGAGAGAGAGAGAGAGACAGACAGAGAGAGTGAGTGAGTGAAAGAGAGCGAGAGAGTTTGAGAGAGAAAAGTCAGTGAAGTGAGAGAAAGAGAGAAAGAGAGAGAGAGAGAGAGAGAGAGAGAGAGAGAGAGAGAGACAGAGAGACGGAAGGAGAGAGAGAGAGAGAGAGGGAGAGCAAAGAAGGAGAGAAACAGAGAGGACCAGAGAGCGTGCAACCAACAAGATAGTTCGACAGAGTGACTCGCGAATTTGTCGATGAGGCATGCCTCCAACATGCCAGGACTGTACGGCTCATCAGTGGCGTACAGGATCAGCATATCAGTCCATCCATCAGCATCGTGAATATAGCCATACAGTGTGTTCGTCCAGCGCCATATCGCATCATGCGTGTAGCCTATCTTAAATATGAGAGGCCCCTTGTCATGGAGCAGCTTTTCCAACTGCATGGAACAGTGCCGCAAAACTTTTCCAGGCGTGACACCGGCAGCTGGAAGCTTGTATGAGATGCATGCAACAGTCGTGCACTCAGGGGTGCACACGGGCACGGCGACAGTATCGGTTTGATTCTCATCCTGTTGCAACTTGATTGGCAAAACACAATCTGAGGGTTGACTTGTCATTTGCTTCATGTAGGCGGATATCATCGTAGCATGCCTGCGACGTTCTGGGCTATCGTTGCACGTTGCTGCCTCAGGCACTCCCTTGGACCAAGGAAACGGCCCTTCAGTTTCCTGAGTGAAACCGAGAGAGCTCAACACATTGACTGCAGAAGCGGGGGAATCTAGAAAAGCATCAATTTGCATCCAAGAGCACGGAACGATGACAAGTCAAGAGCTCTAGTAGCTCATCGTCCGAGCCAGCAGAGGGATCGAGGTTTGCATCTCCCATCCAAACACAAAGCAAGCATATGTTGCCAATTTCTGACCGGAGAGTTTGTGCTGAACGTATCTAGAATCTAAAACAGTTGATTACCTTAACTTCCTGAGAACAATGTAACAACCCTGGTTAGGCTAGCGAGTGACCTAGCGCATGTGTGTTGGAACGTGGCACGACAGGAAAGCCTCTGATGCTCATGTCCTGTGTTTCGAGCCCATGCTTCTATACTCACGGCAATCATCTTCCACATTGATATTGGAGACAAGTAAGACTGCTAGAACTGTCCTATCCTTCTAGTGCTTCGTTTCATGACTCAGGATCTGACTCCATTGCCAACTGCTTTTGCCAGCCCCCGGAGAGCTTTGCCAGGCTTGATACCTGGCATGTACAATGAGCGTTGGCAGTCAGGGCCGAGACTGCAAGTAGATGTCGTGCAACGTTCAGCAGTGAAAGCAATGATTCCTCTTTTTCGCACAGCTGCAGAGCCTAAACGTCGTCCCCATGGACAGGACTCTTCAGTCGAGACCCCTGGTGCTGAAACCCTTCTGTTGCCCGGCAGCATCAAGTATTGAACACATACACACCCAAATATTTGGACCTAGTAGTGTGTAACTATCCTAGTAGATAGGAGGGTGGAGGGAGAATGAGAGAGAGAGAGAGAGAGAGAGAGAGAGAGAGAGAGAGAGAGAGAGAGAGAGAGAGAGAGAGAGAGAGAGAGAGAGAGAGAGAAAGAGAGCGAGAGAGAGCGAGAATGAGAGTGAGATTGACGGTGAGAGAGCGAGAGAGAAAGAAAGGGAGGAGATGTGTAGGTAAAGAACAGGGCAATTGTAGAAAGCATGAAGAAAACACGAAGCAATTAAGACAGACAAGCGAACACACAACAAGTACAATTTCAAACAACATGCGTGAACAAAGAGAGAGAGAGAGAGAGAGAGACAGAGAGAGAGGGAGAGGATGTATTTCGCTCCCTAGAAAAGAGATAAAGTGCGGATGAACTCAATGGTCGATGCAGCACGAGATCATCCCACTTGTTACGACATTTGCTGCACAACAACAGAACTGTACCGAATTTGCAGCTCCCCAGCCATCGGCCCTCGAAAGAGCACAGGCTCTACTTCTTCTTCCCCGGCGCCTTTTTGGCGGCGGGCTTCTTCGGGCTGGGCTTCACTTTGGGTCTCGTCTGCGATACCTGCTTGTCGAAGAAGGGCTTTGCGGATGTCCTGGGAGTTCGGAAAGTATCTTAATTCGGGATGTTGTTACCGGGGTTGGAGTTGCTGGGTTGAAATTTAAGTATTTAGAGGTGGTAGGGTTCCCATCGTCACCGGACTTGTAAACTCTTTTGATTTGAAGGATTCGAGAAGTATCAGATGTTCGTGACCATTTATGAGTTTGTAGGGTTTCAGGAATCGAAAGGGTCCGGGGGAACACCTGAAGCCACAGCCCTCAGAGACAGAAACCTTGAAACCCTGAAGCCCTATAATATACATATATATATACACACAGTACATATATATATATACACACACATGTGAAAATATATGTATATATACATATAAGCTGTGTAACACAGATATATATAGCCCATGTACGTATATATATATATATATATATATATATATGTATGCTTGAAAGGGATATAACATTGAAACCCAAAACCCCCAAGTAATCTAAACCACAATAAACCCTCAAGCCCTGCCAGTATGTAAAGTCAGAAATCCACACACGAGCAGATCCATCATTGCGGTTAGGATTCGTATATGTGTCGGGTTCATAAATGGGAGTTACATAAGGTTGGTCTTGACCCATTGTCCCATTCTATATATTTCATTGAAACCCACAATGAAACCCCACAGCAGCTCTTCCAAGCTGCTAACTAACTTTGGCACAAGCAGCCGGATCTTCTGCTCGCTGGCCGTGGCGCGTGAGCACCTGGTAATTGTTCGAATAAAGGACAGCAGGCTATTTGGGTTAGTATGACATTCATACTTGTAGATACACCGAAGCAGCAGACTGGCAAATGGCACGACCGATAAGCCCGGGGCTGGAAAGTAGCATTTCGAATGTGAGCTTCGCTTTTCTTCCATAGCCTGGGAATGGGTGACAGTTCAATTAGGGCTATCGCGGGGTTTACTTATACAGGGCTTAAGGAAGGGCTTAAGTTCAGAGGGTGGGAGAGCTAGTTTTCTTGGGAAGTCTAGATATACGAAGAAGTAAATAAATATGTATATATATATATATAGAAATACAAAATATATAAGAATTGTATAAAGTATAAATATCGGGTTGATAGATATAGACGAACCTGAAATAAAGGCCCAGCCCATTTAAAACCAAAACAGCTAAGGCAAGCTGCTCCTCGCTCCAGCCACCTTCCAGCCCACTGCTGACGACAAGCTCCTGGCCCTTGTCGTACAAGTCATCCAGGCCGCGGATGTCCTTCTCCAAAGTGTCGATGGCCCTAGGCGGGTGTGGATTGCGCTGGCATCTGTCCCCGTAGCGTGTAACTAAATGTTCTGCACACGTTGGGAATACTCAGCTGCTTGCTTCGCTACAGCGGGGTTCTTCTCGTCGTAGCTTGTCTTAAGCTCCTTAATCAAAGTCCTGGTCTTCTTGACCTTCTGCAACAGCGAGTCGTTCAATTTCTTGAGCGAATCTTCCGTCTGCAGGGATGACATGATTGCAAGGGGAAGCTATCTAATCTATCAAGGTAAGCTAACAGAATACCCAGACTAATCAGCAATTCTTTTGCACCACCCAACCCGCTTGAACTTATCATCAACGGGCTTCTCTTCTAGAGACTTCTTCTCATCAGCAGCAGCCCGGTTCTGCATCTTCTCAAGGCCCTTGAAGCAGTTCTCCGGCAGCTGCGGCGCGTCCTCCTTCGCCTCTCGGAGACAGAAAGTTTGTGGGGAAGGAAATCATTCTGTATCCCTTAAGTTAATGACAAATTGAGAACATTTCGGATAGCTGTTCCTATGGAGGTGTCGGGCTTTAGCAAGGGTGTACATAAGTTATGGGGATTATATACTCATATAGGGTGTACATATGTATATGTAGAGGATTCTAGTTAAGTCTGCTTGCCTGGCTGGAGTGGTGCTTCTCTTCGTGGCTGATCTGCTGCTTGTGGGTGCCCTTTTCCCGCAAAGTGACCCAGAATTCCTTCTCGCCGTCATAGAGGTTCTGCCTCGGAATGCACTTGGGAGAACAAGAGAGGAGTATATAGGAAAAAGCCATTATTCGGGATAATCGTCATTTGGGACTCGTGCCGAACATGAGTGTCCGGTTGGCTCTCGCAGTACTTCATCGCTGCGAGCACTCTCTTCCTCAGCAAGGATCCACACACATCAAAGAGCATGAGCCTCATGATCACATGCACCGGCAAAGCACACATCAACATCTTGGGGGCAGAGCTGGGACCATTTGAGCTCATTCACCATCTCATCTTTGGTGTACCAGCCCTGGTCTACAACAATGGTGTATTTCTGCTTTCTGGAGATGATGACCTCCAGCTGGCTGATGAACTTCGCCTGTCATATATAGACACTACAGACTTTGGGATTGGTGCGAACTAGATTGCTCACAGGAACATCTATATACAAGCCTTTGTAAGCATGAAGTTAAGGCCAAGCCTTGTCGAAATTGAGGTCCAGGAGCAAGCGACCCATTTCGTCTTTGTTAGCAAGCCAATGTTGTTTCACAAAGTCAGGCACCTCGAGTTCCTTTCGCCGGCTCTTGGGAGCACACATCCTGCTGATGCGTGCCTTCGACGCAACGAGCAATCGCTCCTGTCGACAATCGAGAAACACCTGTATATACGACCTAGAATCACTAGAAAGCGAGAGTTGGCACGCAACAAGTCCTGCCGGGTGGGGATCTTTCGCTGTTTCTTCGGGAAAGGCTCCGCGGCCCGGGCTGGCGTAGGAACGGGGCGCTTTGCAGCACCAGAGCACTCTTCTGAAAGCTTCTCTGGCTTCACACCCAAGGTGCCGGTAAGCCTGGCTTTCAAGCTCTCGTCGTCCTCCTGGTCAAAGTTCTGCAGCTGCTCATCGTCGCTGTTGACTTCAACCTGGATGGGCAACTTGGTGCATGAATTCCGGGGCTGAACTGAGAAGCCTCAGAGATTGCAAGAAAGGTTCTGCAAAGTACTCGTCGTCTTCAACGGCACCGTCGATGCCCTTTCCGTCACCCACCGGGTCCCCACACAAGCCCAAAGCCTTGAGCTCCTCTGCAGAAGCCTAAGCTCGTAAGCCATTTTTTGCGTGTTTACCTAAATGATTCAAGTTTGAACTGAATGCGAACAGGAACACAGTGGACACATTCTAAGGGACTTGCTGGGAGAGTCTCTTGCATGGATGGAGCAGGGGTAGCAAGCTGGAGCTGTTCATCAGCAGAGGGTTCGACTTCAGGCACAGCAAGCTGGAGATCTTCATCAGCAGAAGGTTGGACTTCAGGAACAGCAGCAACGGGAAGAGCAAGCTGAAAACCATCGTCAGCATCCTCAAAAACCAAAGCTCATTTTTTGAGATTTCTGTCAATCAAGATGTTTGAGTTTCTTGCAACCAATTCCAAACAAGCCTCGGGAGCTTCTGCAGCCTGGGCAGCTTGTTGTTCGAGATCCTGGGAGCACCAGGACACAAGCGGCATTATGTCTGCCTGGGCAATACATACAGTAGTTTTCTAAAGGTTAGGACCTGATACCTGTGAGGGAAGTTTGCTGTGTCTTGTTGTGGGTTCAGGGTTCAGAAGCCCTGTAAACATATGGTACATATATTCAACATATTATACATTCTATATATATATATATATAGATATATACATGTGTATATATATATATATATGTATATATACATATGTATCCGTTAAATATAGTCTATATATATATACATGTATGCTTTTATAGTGTGTACATATATATATATATATATATACATGAGGTATATATCTGTGTGTCTATATATATAGAGGAAATCCGAAACAGAAGCCCATCCGAAGCACCAAAAGGAACATTGTATAGAAGCCCTTAATTGCAGAGGTTTATAGGGCCTTGGGTGTTTCGTACATTAGATTACAACAACTCACACTAACCGGCCTCGATTTCACGAAGAAGCCGGGCTTCCTCATCATCCACCTCCATTTTAGCATCACGTAGGACATGCTTGATTCCTTCATCAAGCGTGGAGCAACTCCAGCACTTCGACTGTACAGGCATCCCCGCCATTGCGCGTATGCCCCTGGAGCCTCTAGCCCAAAAAAGCTTGTGAAAGAATATTGAAGCCAAAACCATGTCAATCGTCTCGAAGCAGCAAACCAACACGGTTGCATCAAGACTGTGAATCAACGAATCAGGCTTAATCCGAATCTGAACGACTTTTGTCCGAAACTCCAGCATCACTTCTCCTGGATCCGTCCTTCCGAGGTGTCTGGACAGGGCTCTACACAGCTGGAGTTCAGATGCATATGGACGTGTCTGCGGCACGCATCTATCCTGGGTGGCCATAACCCAAAAATCATTTACGGGTATTTACGGGTTACACACGGGTTAATTATGGGTTACACACGGGTTGGGGAAAACCGGGTTTTCCGCGCTCACGGGTTAATTTTTGGGTTTTCATGGGTATTTTTGGGTTTCTTATGGGTTAATTTTGGGTTATTGCGGGTTCGGGGCTGATACCCTAGTTTTCCGCAGCTAGGTGGTCTATTTAAACCCTATTAAAATTAACTAGAGTGATTGCAGACCATCCCGCAGACCGTTCCGCAGACCTGCCCCGCAGACCTAGAAAGCTTCATTTCAAGGCTCCAAGACAATCCCGCAGGCTGCCCGTAGCAAAACCTATTAAACAGCCCTGAAGATCCCGCAGCCCGCGTAGCATAGAATCCCGCAGCCCGCCTATATCCCGGAGCCCACCTCACACCATCAATCCCGCAATGTATCCCGCAGACCCTTGATGCAAGCCTATATTTAAGACTATTATAGTTCCACAAACCTATATAGCCCACAAAAGCAACCTGGGAAACTAGAAAGTGGAAACTTGCTTATATGTATATATAAACAGAATTTGTATATAGTAGAGTCCAGAAGGTTGGAATATCAGATGAGGGATCCTATACAGCACTGTATATATATATATATATATAATCTTCCGATGAAGTGATATTCCAACTTTCTGGCTTCTACTATATACAAATTCAAGTTGTATATACATGTCTAGCAGGCAACCCCACAAAGGTACAAGCCAAGGGGCCTTTTAACATCCAGAAACCATTCCAATATGCAGCAGCATATATATCGCCGAAGCTCCCCGAAGCCACATGATTACTTACCCTGGTCTAACACCTTATTCTGGAAATGCCTACCCAAATTTCACAACCTCGGAGCAGCCCAGCTGAAACCAGAAGCAAGCGAGGCCTCCCAAGGCCCACTTGAAGCCAAGCGTTTCTCTATGTGGGGTTTAAGGGTTTTGGGGTTAATATTACATATACTGGGTTTCTAGGATAAATATATACATAACCTTATGAATGGCTCATTTCAGGCTCTTGGAAGCCACTGGCCGAAACTGTCATGATGACAATGGGCTCCCGAAGGCACGGCCTGGATGCTTCTGGGTATCTACCTGGTTCTAAACATCTTTAGTAAAGACCTTTGATAAATATGTACATATATATATATATACATATACAGATACATATATACTTATCTGTATATTTCAGAAAGCGTAGTATATACAGCTGCATAGCAATATAAATGCTTCTCTCTCTATATACATATATATATATATATGTCTTAGATATATTTAGAGCAATGTATACTATATATATATATATGAGTTAGTTTAGTATAGTGGTCGTCGTCGTAGTGGTAGTAGCAGCAGCAACACTATAGCAGCAGCAGCAGCAGGAGCATCGGCAGAATAATGTAGACATATATATATATACATATACATACATATATATATATAGAGAGACATATATCTAGATATATCTATATATATATACAGATGGATAGATCGCTAGATACGTCATATAATGTATCTACTGCACTCATCTGGTGGCACTGGGTCTCTCTCTGAAACGCAATATTTATGTATCTTCGGAGAAAACGAGAAACCATTTCATCAGGTCTGGGTCGTCGGATTCAATCGCCAATATTCCGGATAGCTGTTGCACTCTGTTCCTCTCTTGATGCGGTCTGTATGAAATACAACATATATATATATGTATATGTATATATATATATATATATATATATATATTAATATATATATATATATATATACAGTTAATCAATAATTGGTATCAAACATACATAAACCTGTATATAAAAGTACAAGGATCCTAACTATATATATTCATATATGCAGGATTCTCCTATATCTCTTGGTCTCTCATCTCTGTCTCTCTGTCTCTCTCCCTGTCTCTATCTTCCTATCTCTCTGCTCTTCTGCTGACCCCTTCTTCTCGAATGAAGCAGCTCATAACTACTATTGCTTCTAGTATGCTTGCTGCAAGTAACATCCAACCCGACCCCAATTTGACTTTTAACAATATGATTGCATATACCAAATAACCAGCTAAAGGCTTCCACTGACAGATTTGTCTTCGTAGTATTTTTCACGAACCTGTATGTAATGACCCTGTATGATCCGGAACAAAGTCTTAATTTGGGTACGTTCTCTTTTATCTCTCTCTCTCTCTCTCTCTCTCTCTCTCTCTCTCCATCGCTCTGTCTTTCCCATAGGAGATCTGTCATGTCTGGACGATCGAAACCCATACAAAGGCCAGCAACCGTGTTTTAGGAGAGACCAGGAAATGCCTTCGGGATAACATGTGCCCAGTTCTCTGGGATACGGAGGCGCTTGCTGCCTCTAATGTACAGGAACACTTTAGAGAGCTCCGCAAACTGCCAATGTTCAGACTCTTGGCCCCAAGACATCGACTGAAAGGTTTCAACAGCATCTGGCAAAGGATCGGGTAGCGACGGTTGGCCACAGGAGGATCTCGTCAAGTTTGCATTCATAGATACAAGCTTCCGCGCGAAGGCCAACGGATATTCCCTCAGATTCACTAGCATTGGCATTCCACATACACACATGCACAGCACAGCACAGTTGATAGGCTTGCAACGATATTGAAACAAGGCACTGTGTCTTCTTCAACCATCGTGTGCCCTCCCAACACTTCTTGCCATGCTTGTTTGTATAATACCTAGCAGTTTTCTGGTCAGTGCGTTTGCCACGTCGCAAGGCCACGACCTGGAGCTTGCCCTTGTCGATGATTGAGGCAGAGTTGCCCCACATGTACTGCCGTTTCGGTGTGGGGCTCCCGTAATGGCTCATCCACCAACAGACACGGGTAGCCTCGGCTAGCAACATAAATCAAACTAGCTAGTAGGTGGGTCTACTCAGCACATGCTGTCACACACTACAATGCAGTCGGGTATCAGCTCGAGGTCCTGCGACCCTATACAAGCTCAGCAACAAGGCCCTAAATGTCGGATATAAATCCAGAACAGAAGATCGGGGCTGCTCCACCAGCCACGTCAAGCCCCTGCTTGTTGCCAGGTAGAGCAGCATCACAGTCCTGCATAGAACGGGTTTACATTTTCTCGATCCTTCGTGGCTGATGATATTCAGGGTTTAGCGATTTTTTGGTGGATTGTATCGATCGATGGGGCTTCTTTAGGGTCTTGATCTCTTTGCAGAGCCAGGGGTTTCAGGGTTTGGAGTCTCGAAGCTTTAGTAGGTTAGAGGGCTCACATAGGGCGAAACTGTGTTACTATGGGGTATATAAGAACGATAGGTTAGATAGATCGATGGGGCTTTGTAGGGTGTTTGAAGTAGATTGCCTTAGGCAGGGCTTCGGGTTTACATACTATATATATATATATATATATATATATATCTATATATATATAGGGTTATCCATATATATATATATATGTATAAGGGTATACTGTTTGTAGGGATAGCAATCGAGAAGAGTGGGCCTCTCCAACAGTTTGTTACTTGCACGCACCGAACGCATGCCGCCCCAGCCCATCGCGTTGCAAGCTGTTCTTTTGCTTGTGCCAGAGTTCATTGAGCAAAATGAAGAGCACTTCACAGCAAACAGGCACATAGCGTCCCCCGGCACACACCGTAAGATGTAGAAGCAAGCCAACCTTAGAGCTTCTTAGTTACAGCAAGGTCAAACAGGACTGCCGCCAACACATATCTGAATCTACAGGATAATCTAAATAGGGTGCATAAGAGCAGCAGGAACCCACTGGATTCCGTGAGGTCCATGAAGTTGCTCTTGCCAGGTTTAGCTGTGTTGTACAAAATGTCGAATTTGGCGCTGAGATGCCCAGCTGCGCGGAACTCTTCAGTGACTCGAGCACGTCCCGCAAAGAACTCCAGCATGTGAAAGTCCTGCGACAGGGGCACAATTATGTTCAAGCATTTATCTTTGTTTAGATATTCGTGAGAGAACTGTGTGTGACACCTGGATTGCACATGTCCTCCCCGATGTGTTCATAACACCATATGAGCAGCAGGAGGCAGAGCACAAACTCCTTTCAGTCGATTGCAACCATGCACAAAACAAATCTGATTTGCACGAATCTTAAGCCTGTACCTCACTTGCCCTGCCTTCGGAACCTGCAGCTCCTTCAAACGCCACACCAGAGAGTCTAAACAAACCATGCTCCCAGTCGCAATGGGATGGCAGGTGGCTCTCTACTCGTCTTGGGCCCGCTCTTGAGAAGATCAGGCTGGAATCTGATGATGGAGTGTTGCAATCAACCATTTCGCACTGTTCACCTGGTATGAAGCATCACTCAAAGAGCTGAATTCGTAAACATGGCGAAGCAGACTGTTCTTCCGCGTCTTGTGCACGTCCTTGCTTGCACTGTGGGACCAGGCCTTCCGGCACACCGCAGGCTTGGCATGAGGGACCTGGGCGAAGGAAGAGTGCAGCAGACGAAACATCATGGTAGCTCTCGCGATAACGGTTCATGCAGAGATGAAGCACTCGATTGTGTGAGCAAGGCTGACTCTGCAGAGATCGATCGATACACTCATTTTCAAGCCTCGAAACAAGCTCCGCTGACCCCATGAGGCAGACTCTGTTGCCGATCCAAGACAAGGTTCTACCCAGGCAAGAGGAGTTTTCCATTGTGTTGCATGCACATGTGCATGTGCGTACATTTAGATATATATATATATATATAGAACTATAGAGAGGGCTTACTGCAAAGGGTTCAGGTACATGCATACACACGTATATCCTCTCGGCAACCTGGCTTTCTTGCCTATAGCAGAATTTAAGATACTCGCAAAAGAACGATTATGTGGCACATCCCCCTGCGGCATTGCGTATTTCAAGCAAAGCAACTCTCTCACTATCTATTATTTTCGCACATAGTTGTCATTGTGTACTTTTGTGAACACAGATCTGAGGTATATACAACTTTAAAGCAGCTAAGTACAATCACAATCCGCAGCAGGACAGGCCCCCAACTTGGCAGCCACACTAAGTACATCGACATAGCAGCACTCGCCAGGGAGCAACATTGTGTCCCCGTCCGGGTTCCTGCGAACCTCTTCAGTTCAAGCCCAGACCCCCAAATCACAACAGCACCCGACTGACTAAGCAGCCAAAATCTTTGTACACTGTAGCATCGCCATAACTTGAAATTCTTCGACTTCGTCGAGCCGAAGGCAAAACACAAAATGCCCAGCCCAAAACCCCGGGTCTTTGAGAAATCATCGTATAACACCTCGAAGCATTCTTGGACCTTTACATGGCAGCCTCACCCCAAGAAGCAATCTCCTGGATAACCTCCGCTCCGTCCTCCTTCAAGCTCTCATAGACCTCGGTGACCAATGGGAGGGCCACGAGCGCGTCGACCCCCAGCTCCCGGTAGGTCTTCCCAGTGTGGGGGCATTTCTCGGACATCATCATGTCCAGAAACTGAACCTCGGATATAAGGGGATCTACAATGAAACTCAGGCAACCTGAGAATGATCGAAGCTGCAAAGAAACAAGCCACTGTATTTAATGAGGCATGCAGCGATCAGCAGAGCACACCTGATAGTCACAGCCAACCGAAGGTATGCCGGAACGGTCTTGTGGGGCAGGTGATAGGACCCAAGATCCTTCTTCAAAGACTTGATCGTGACTCCACAGGAATATCTTGTCCAGTAGATGTTCAAGCTAGCAACCTCATGGTCTTGCACAGCCGGCAAAGCCTCACGCATAAGCAGCTTGAAGTCAGCCATCTGATCATGCCTGTGATCAAACCACTCCCTGGCGAAGGCAGTCAACAGCACCTTAGCGTTCAAGTCCGCCCAGTCGTTGATGTTATCTGGCATCTGAACATCAAGCGACCCCGTGGACCGCTCCCGCTTCTTGTCCGAAGCCATGGGCTTTGCTTTCCTCTTTGCTGTTGCCTTTGCTGTTGCCTTTGCTGCTGCCTTTGCTGTTGCCTTTGCTGTTGCCTTTGCTGTTGCTTTTGCTGCTGCCTTTGCTCCTGGCTTTGCTTTTGCCTTTGGGGTTGTCTTTGCTGCTGCCTTTGCTTTGGCCTTTCCTTTTGCCTTGGCTGTTGCTTTTGTTGCTGCTGTTTTCGGCGCTGCTTTGGGCTTGTCTTTGTTGGTTGCCTTCACTTCGCTCTCAGGGTTCGCAGTGTCATCCACATGCTCGGGTTCATCCACATGCTTGGGTTTGCGACCCCGTCTTGGCTTTGGCTTCTCTTCAAGTGCTGGATCGGCTTCCAAGGCTGCATTACCCGCCTTGGCATCATCTGCTGAAGCTTCCTTCTCGGAGAGAGCATGCGAGGACCTGGATTTCTTTCGAAGCAGACTCCTTCGTCGCCGGCTTGGCGAAGAAGGCGCAGCCTTCTTGTTGCCACTCTTAGCAGCCTTCTTCTTTTTGGCGGTCTTGCCATTCTTAGATCGTTTGCCCTTCTTCTTCTTCAAGCTTTTCAAAGCCAACTGATCGGCTCGCGTTACCGGAGGACTGTCACCCAACACCTTCAAGGCACTGCAACTTAGCATAAATCGATGCACCCACAAAGAAATCGAGCCCACGCACACACACACACACAAACCTGGGAGCTCGGAGTGTCATGATCACCTGTCGTGTTTCCGATCATAGCTTGCGTCGGCGTTCCCGGTGCACCCTGATAAGCTCGTCGCTGTTCTTCCCCAGACACGTCCCTGGTGTCCGCAACCACTGCCTCGGGTGGAACAGGGACTGTCGCGATGTCGACCGGCTGGGTCTCGTCCGTGGCAAAGCTTGCCCTTTCCTCCGATGGAGTATCGAAACTTGGACGGCTTTCCCCGGGAGTGCCTGCATGGCGACTATGTACAATCACATATGAAACCACAATCTTGTAACATCCAAATTGTTTCCCACCTGAAGGATCTGTGCTGTTCGATGCAGGGGTCGGGGCAGCACCATCTGCTCCGTTGGTTTTCCTTTCTCGCAACCTCACTATCATATTAAAGTGCTTGCATGCCCTCACTCTATAACCCTCACTCTCTCACACACACACAAGCATTAACTCGAAGAATTCAGGATGGGACTGTCGTAGCCTTTCCTTGGCCTCCAACAGCCGACGATTCAGCGAAGCAGAGCCCGAGCTACCTCATTTGCAATGCTATGGAAGCACTTTAGAATTGGGACACCGACATGTGATTGCGCTTATAATCTCGACTAGGAGCTGCCACTGCCACTTTCCCACACATGCTGCTTCGGCGTTGTCGGCGGGGTCACAGGGTCGAAAACAAGCATGCGAGCCGTGGGAAGAGATGCACCCACGGATGCAGGCACATCGCACACAGGTGCAGGCTCAAACACACGATCAGGTCTTGCCACAGGTGCAACCACAGGTGCAACCGCAGGTGCAACCACAGGTGGAACCACAGGTGGAACCACAGGTGGAGTCACAGGTGTGATCACAGGCGCCGGCACAGGTGTAGGCACAAGAGCCCCGGATGAAGCATTTGAAGCACTCCTAACGGGCTCCTCGTCCATTGGCTCAGTCTTCACCACGTCATCCGGAATCAAGATCACCTCCCCAACTGGGTTTGCCCTATCAGTTGCAGGAGCGACTGGGGGTCCTGGCAATGCTGCTGCAATGGCTGTGGCTGCGGAAGGTGCGGTTGCAGGGGCTTCTGATGTAGCTGTGACGGCAGGCGTTGTTGCGGGTATTGCGCTTGGGGCTGCATGGCCTGCCGTGCTTGGGGCTGCAGGGCTCTCTGTGCTTGAGTTTGCGCTTCCAGTAGCTTCTTCGTTTGGGGCTTCATCAACCTCATCCTCATCCTCATCGCCATCACCCGCCTCAGAAACACGGAAATTAATCCCATCAGTTCAATGATTGCCGTGCGAGCACAGAACTTGCGAACCATCGAGCCGAGGAACATCGGGCTCCAAAGAAGCCGAGGATCTTCTCGTTGAGTTCACGTAGTCCACCAGTTCCTATGTAGAATGGAGAACAGGATTGAAAGCCACAGGACCTACCAATGCAATCGAAGCCAAATCAATTTCATATAAAAACAGATCAAGGTTCTTGCAAATTGGGGTCCAGGATGAGAAGGAGCTGCTGAAACACTGGATCCTGAAAGGCTCTCTTGAGCTTGATCATTACCTTACACCCAAGGACATGCTTATACAGATCACAAAGCCCTGTCGTGATACACATGAGGAAAACATTATCATGAAGTCAGTGGAAAGATTCCGTTGAGACTTGATTCTTCCGGATCTTGAGCTTCAGGAAAGCTACAAACTTCCGAATTGACCAAGCTGCTTTGTCAATTTGCTCGAAAGTCACTTCCTGCTTTGCCATACCCATAACTGCCTGCACCTCTTCTCGCAAAGCCTCGACCGCCGGCGAAGGTGGGATCTTACCATCATCTACGGCATCCCGCATCTTGGCCATCAACTCACACACAGGTTGCAGCACAGGTCCATTCAAAGAAGCGGTTCGGATCAGCACTTTATCCTTAGTGGAGGGGTGCAGAAGGGAGCCGCCATCACGAAGCCGTTGCCTGATCTGGGGATCTGCCTCCCACTGCTGACCCAGGCCGGTGATATCCACTGAACGAGCTTCGTTAGCCATGGGTCGAGGAAGCTGAGAGGCAATAGATATGAGAACAAAGATGTCTAGCACATCATCCACATTGAGGGCAGAAGACTTACGAAAAGATTTAAGCACCCATAGTGGAATCTACATATAAACTTGTATAAACCTCGACAACATATATCTATATTTTCTGCTGTTGGATGCAGACTGCTCGCCTATCCAGTGCGACTGATCCGCTCCAAGGGTCCGAGCTCAAAATCTTGCAGGATTCGCAAAAGTCAATACAGGTCAGCGACAAAGTCTCAAACCTTCCGAAGCAATCCTGCATCAGCTGAGTTCTCGGCCTTGAAGGATTCTCTAACTTTGGAGCGCGGCATCGGATGAAAAGCACATCTCTCGTGTCATGTTGCGAGTGTTCAGGGCTTGGCGAAGCTACGTACATTGATGTTCTAGCAGGATGTAAAGGTGTGACTTTCTGCTTTGAAAGCAGCATCATGCGACTCTTCGAGAGCCATCAATCCTCCGGCAGGCCTGAGTGGCGATCACAATGCTTCATCCTTAAAATAGGGTTTTCTAGTAATAACCGGGTTATTATTTAGATAACCGGGTTATTCGTCAGGAATGGTTCTAAAGACGGGTTATGTACCAATGACCCTCTTTTTTTAGGGTTAAGGGTTCCCAAGGTAGGGTTTGGGGCTTTAGGGTTTGGGTTTAGGGTTTAGGGCTTAGGGCTTAGGGTTTAGGGTTTAGGGCTTAGGGTTTAGGGTTTAGGGTTTAGGGTTTAGGGTTTAGGGTTTAGGGTTTAGGGTTTAGGGCTTAGGGTTTAGGGTTTAGGGTTTGGGGCTTTAGGGTTTAGGGTTTGGGGCTTTAGGGTTTAGGGTTAGGGTTTAGGGTTTAGGGCATAGGGTTTGGGGTCTATTATATGGGTTTAGGGTTTAGGGTCTATTGCAAAACCCTCAAAGCTCAAAGCCCAAAATGTCACCCTAAGCCTTCACAGAGCGGTCTAAATGCTCTGGACCCTACAACCACCAAACCACTCAAACTGTAACAAAGCCCCCAAATAAACGTCAAAGCTGTGGAGACCCTACACTCGGGTGGTTGTTCGAGTTAGGGTCCCTTGTTGGGTCCTTATTATAGTACGGCACCTAATATTTAGGGTACCCAAAAAGGGACCCTAAACCCGATAGATCCCTTTGAAGGAACCCTATAAGCCCCTATAGATCCCCTTGAAGGGAATCCTAAATCTATAATTTTGACCACCACCCACTCCTAAACCCTAAACCCTTAAGCCCCTGAACCCTAAACCCATAAACCCTAAAAACCCTACACTCGGAGGTTGCAGAACAAGCTGCCAGAAGAAGTCGTCCACGACATCATCCGAGGGGCCGTCGAGGCGGCCGAACGTGTCTCTGATATTAGGGTTTAGGGTTGAGGGTTTAAGGGTTTAGGGGTTTAGGGTTTAGGGGTTTTAGGGTTTAGGGGTTTAGGGTTTAGGGGTTTAGGGTTCAGGGATTTAGGGTTTAGGGTTTGCTGCGTTAGGTGTTTGCGAGGCTTCTCTGTTTCGCCCTTCAATGGTTTGGTCAGAGTTCTCTCGTTTATGTTGGGGTTCAGCAGTGGAGTATAGATAGGGTAGCATAGAAGAAGCCCCTATGCAAGCCCAGCTAAGATCCTTCACCCGATCGTCGTCAAGTTGCAACTCTAAGTCCCTGCAAACCCAACATAGATCCGTTACCAATCTCTGGGGATCATGATCTCCCACAGTAAAGGTCCCTGATTGAAGAAAGGGTGTGTCCCTGGGTAACCAACGACATGTTCAGGTCGAGCGCAAGTTCATTTGTGACGCACTCTCCTGCGACCTCGTCGGCATGAACAAGGAGGGAACGTGGGACACACTATCGGGGCGTAAATAATTGCCTATGCTAGTTTGGGGGCTCCTTATTATTTTTATAGTAGAATGGGCCCCAAAACCCTATTCTAGTTATTAAGGCCCCTATATTACTTTATTCGCGCCTTCCTATTGAGAAAGGGCCGCAGATGGAAGAGTAACCTCTGACATTTACAGGTTCCTATTTTGTCAAGGGTCTTTCCGACCTTGAGAATATTTTTCAACCGTTCATGTATTCAACGGTTGTTTTTTCTTTTAAGGGGTTGGGGGGCAATCTTTCATACATCACAATTTGGGCGGCAGGGAAGAACTTACTGCCGCAAGCTCCATACACGTATTTGGAGTCTTTGATTTCGAGAAACTTTTCCTGACAGGGACTTGGTTTTCCTGATGCCGCTGTTGGTATAATGTGTTCAGAAAGTTATACAGTATTATCAGGTGTTGTAATACACTATAAAGATTTTACTATCGTATCTTCGTGTTTTGCAGACAAACAGACACCACGCATTCCGTTATCCGCCAGGATCTGATGACGCAGTACATCGAGTTTGTTGCAGACCGACTCCTAACAGCCCTTGGCCACAGCAAGCTTCTTGCCTGCCGTTCTTGAGGTTTTGACTTGAAGGGCAGTGCATCTTTCAGCGACCTTTGGCAAAAACAGCATCGTGAAGGCTTTCGACAGGGTACAGTTCCCAGTGCTCAAGCTAAGTACTGACATCCTTCAGCTCGAAATCCAGATCTGTAATATTTTATCTCTGCTACCACAAAAAGACTGAGCAGTAGAGACAGCACAAGTGAAAGCGTGTTGACAGTGACAGGTGTAGTTGCAGTAGCAACGATGCGTAGCAGCAGTGGTGGTATGGTTCATGCAGAGGACTGGTAATTCGTGACAGTATGCCCTCCGTTGCCTTGTATAACTATCTAGCAATATCTAGCATAAAAGAAAGCTCTCGAATTATACTTAATTACTCTGATTATTTCGTACTCTACACAAATTCCCTGCGGTCTGACCTTGCCCGAACCCATCAGCGGATGCTGCCCACAGGGGAGTGAGTGGACCTTACGCGGCTTTATATAGGGGCCTGTATAATTAACCGAGAGTAATACATAGTCTTACAAGTAGTAATTTAAGGCCGCGCCACAAGCTACCTCACAATCGTTGCCACTCTGGCCACCACTCACTTATTGCCAGTGGTCGTCAGCAGTCTTCAGACATATTTTCAACAGCAAGTCGGTTTCCTCGAATCCCGTACACAGGCCCTTTAACCCAAACCATGTCGTCAGTTAGCTCGTGCAAATTCGGAAATCTATTTGAGGGGTTGCCGACGAGCCCACAAAGTCAAGCAGACTGCAACATCTTATACATGATAAACTAAACATAACTCAAATATTCAGGCCCTTCAGGGGGATCCCCAAGAGAAGCACTTAAAGGAACCCCTGAAGACATCGTGTTTTGGGCTTTTCGATTTCACGTTTCCCTGGAGGATCTTCGGGGTGGCGAATCCCTTCGATTGGATGGAGCTGATCTCGCTGCAGGGCCTGCCTGGTTGCGGATCTTGCTTGTGGGCTTGGTTTAGGGTTTAGGGGATTAGAGTTTATAGGGGTTTAGGGGTTTAGGGTTTAGAGTTTAGGGGTGTAGGGTTTAAGGGTTTAGGGTTAAGGGGTTTAGGGTTTAGAGTTTAGGGGTTTAGGGTTAAGGGGTTTAGGGTTTAGGGTTTAGTGGTTTAGGGTTTAGGGGTGAAGCGCACGTAGAAAGCATAACTTAGGCGTCTGGCTTCTGGTGGGAGTTGTTGTTGTTTGTTTACGGACTTGGTTTGTCCAAGGCGAGGGAGGGACCTCCCGAAAACATATGCCTTATGGTCCTTGTTTGGGCATCTGCTCAAAAACGCTAGATTTGGTTGTTTGCCGTGGGAGGGGGGGGGTCTTAGCGACTACACCCTCTTATGGTACCTGCCATGAATAAATCCAAACCCTAAACCTAAACCCTGAACTCCTGCCCTGAAATATAACAGGCCATACAGTCCAGTCTAACAAGTGGCCGAAGTTGCTCATTGCAATCATGAGCCTTTCATCAAAGTAAACGGCGAAAAGCCTAATTAGACAAGACTATAAACCTTGAAGCCCTAAACCCTGAACCCCTAAACCCTTCAACCCTAAACCCCTAAAACGACCAGTTGGGTATGGGAGCTTCCAAGTGCTCGCGGGGTAGGCAAGACGAACTTCTTCGAGAAGCGCGTGGGCGAGTACCAGAAGGACTGCCGGCTTTTCGTACAGGGGCCACGGGAACTTCTAACTAGAATGGGTTCATTTCAGGTGCTTCACGGGGCTCTGCAATTTCTAAAAGCACAGCAGAGAGTGAACAAGGAGCCGCCTGACAATATTGTTAGGGTTAAGGGTTTAGGGTTAAAGCCATGAAGTACAGCTGGACTCTGAACCACCCAGATGATAAACCTGACACCCCAACCCAAACCCTGTTCTAATTATTCAGGCCCCTTTTTCATAGTACCCTTATAGATCCCTTATGGACCCCTTTAAGGGAAGCCTGTTCCAATTGTTAAGTCAAGGCCAAACCCAGACTTTGCCAGCCTTTGGATTTCTCACCATCAGGCAGGCGTGATGGCTGGTGCCACCGATTCCCTGAGTGCCTTTTCTTTGAACGAGGACTTCTGAAGCACAGCTTAGGGGCATGGTGTTTTGGAATGTCGGGAGTAAGGCGGCGCATCAGGATAAAGTCGTTATTAAGTTAAAGCCTTCTATGTGTAAAGACCGTGAGCCCGAGATCTTGAACATTCTTGAACTTAACTATTAACTGGTATTGCTTATGCTCGTACTCTTACACTGTTACTGTTACTACGGCCTTTGAACTTCCGATATTTGCTGATCCAGGCTTCGTTTTTGCGCAGCCAATTTGGATCCTTGGGGACTCAGGGGAACCCAATCGTCGATTGGGCGGAAGGCTCTTTTTGGCTTTCTTCCAGTTTATCCTTGTGGCCATGTCAGAGACAACCACAGTTAATTCCTTGTGGTGCGTCGCAAGCAACGCCTTGTGCGACCTTCTTTGGCCCACCGTTTCCAACCAATACTTGATGCTGTTTGTTCGAAAACTTACGGGCCAGATACCTTGCCCAAACTCGCAAGAACAACAACAAGAACTGAACATTAACTGGCTAGGCTAGTTCCGCAGACCTCGAACCTGACAGCCTCAACTCTTTTGCTGTTTCATTTTCTGCCGCGGGGCCAGTGTCTGGGCGGCACTCTCTCGCGCATGGGCTCCGACAAAATGCTGCAGGGGCTTAGGGTTTAGGGTTGGCCCGGGCCTCCTCGGCATGGGTTCAGTTCTGTGTCACTTTGGTGAGATTTTGCATTTCAGGGTAGGACCAACCGACTTGCAAGGCTGGGTTTGAAAGGCTTTGGGTTAGCCTTGAGGCGATACCGGTTCCCCAGAGTCGTAGACCCAACGAGCAGCCCGCTATCTAGCGGGCGCAGACTGCATAAGGCATAACTATTCGGCGCCTTAAGTCGGTTTCCGGTGTCCACCGGTAGCATGGCGGTAGGTGACTTGACTTCTTGGAGCCCGAAATACCAGCAGCTTAGGGTCCCTCCCTGCTTGTAGTCTAATACCACCCCACCACCTCAATAAAGCAACCTCGTTTCGACTAATCTGGAATATATCGTCATTATGTCCGAGCTAATTAGGCGCCTATAACAACCGTATCCTGAGGCCTGCCCCCGAAACTCATTAGCAGCTTCAATTGCAAAATCGCTGCTCGCAACAGCATCAGCTCATGAACAGTAAGACTTAAAACCTTCAACAAAAAGAGTCAAGACACCGATGGTAGGAGCCTTCATAGGGGTTTACAAGTATGTGTGCATGTGTGTGTATACACATATATATATATATATATGTATGTATAGAGAGGTATACCTATATGTGTATATATGCCTGTTATAGAGTTACCTGAAAATATCATCCGCAGTTGTTAAGTCCCATGATCCTTGAAGCAAGCAACTGTTTCTGCAAACAGAACCCCTTTAGGAACCCCTTGAATGTTACTAAGTCCCATGATCCTTTAAGTAGACCCTAAATCCCCTCTTATACTAGAACCCCTATAGATCCCTTTAAAGGAGCCCTTTAAGGAACCCTAGTTACTAAGTCCCATGATCCTTTAAGTGAGCAGGTGGGCCTGAATGAGAAATCCGGCTTAGAACTCGTCTCGGAGCTGCCTGAGAGCGCGAGATGCTGCTACCAGGCTCTCACTTCGGGATCAGCCTTGGGGTTCATAGAGGGGTTCCTTTAAAGGGATCTATAGGGGTTCCTGTAGAGGGATCTATAGGGATTCCTTCGTAGCTGAGGGGGTTATATAGTCCTGCTAGAATTGAAAAGCTTAACCGCCTTGGGGCTAGGATACTCTGCCCTTAAGATTCGGTGTTCACCCGAGATTCGACCCTAAACCGGGTAGGTGGGAACAGAGGAACCCGGAGACCCACAACCCTGGACCTTCGAATCCTTGGCCCTAGACCCAAACCCCTAAACCGTAAACCCTGAAACCCTAAAACCCCTGAGCCCCAATCCCTAAAGCCCTAAAACCCCAAACCCAAAATACTTAACCCTAAAACCCAAAACCGTAAACCCTAAAGCCTGGAGCTCAAGACCTGATGCTGGCACCCGAACGCTCTTCGAGTCTGAGCTCGCTACCATCCATGTGTCCATGAATCCATGCTTGTGTGCGTTCATGCTTTCGTGCTTGCACGATTGTATACATGACATGCTTGCAGGCAAACTTGGTAGATGCATACATATATATATATATGGTCATATATATATATATATATATATATACAGATATACTTGAAATATGCACAAACATGCAGGTATACATGCATGCATACATGCATACTTGCATGTGTGTGCACGGTGACGTTTCAAGTCGCACAGCTGGATTATTCAGCCTGCGCCCAGAATAGACAGTGCCTCATCTAGAGTCCTAGATTCTCCTAGATATGGGCCTGTGGAATATCAACATAAATCCGTTTCGGTTCCCTGTTACAAGCCTACTAGAGTGGACCGCGAGGCCTTATTCTAATCATTTATTATTGTCCGTATATACATGTGTATATATATATAAATATAAATATATATATATATATATATATATCTCTCTCTATAGATAGGTAGGAACCTTCAGAACCTTCAGTTGGAACGCTTATAGACCCTTTCTCAAGGAACCTAAGAAACCCTATTCTGATTCTTAAGGCCTGTACCTTCGTTCAATTCCAGCTTGATGGTGGATGGTTGAGAGTTGAGACAACGAGACCCCCAACCTTGATTCTCTAAGCCCTCAAGCCTAAACCCTGAGTTCGATTCCAGGTTGATGGTGGCTGGTTGAGACAAGAAGGTTACAGTGGCCAGATCCTTCAGTTTGTCCTGCCGCTCCGTCGACAGGATGAGGGCTTAGGATTGTGGGGCTCTTTCGTTTCGGGTTTTCTGTCGAGTGGTTAAGATTCTAGGCCTAAGGCAGGATCTGCAAGGCATCGAAGTCCTCACGAAAGCGCTGAGGGTGCTAGGCTATGGGCGTCCAACAAAGGAGAATGCCTAAATCTGTCGTCGGGCCTCAACAATCTCTGCTAATGGAGCCCTCAACCTCATGTCAAGGAGCCTGCGCCCCGCTTCCAAGCATCCAGGGTATAGGGTGTAGAGTTCAGGTGTGGTTTAAGATGCCGACCCTAAACCCTAAAGGACTAGTGACTAGAATCATAAGTTGGTTCCGCTTTTGCGGGTTCAGGGTTTCGGGTTCGAAGGGTTGCGCAGGTCTATCCTGTTCATGGCCTCGGTTTGTCCGTGCATCCCTTGACCCTCGAAAGCTGTACACCCTCAGCCCAGGTCTACACACGCAAACCCTTAAACTCCAAACGCCTCGCTCTCTTCAACCCTTAAGACCCCTAAAGTAAAAGCCAGAAAGTGAAAACATCATTCTCCTCCTGGAACAGCACAGGGGATCCCAGTACTAGTCATCCTAAACCCATGTTCCAACTGTCTGGGATGTACTTTCAAACCCCGAAACCTTCAACCTGCTGAACCCTGTGTCCTCAAGCTTCTAGATCCCAAACCTATAGACTCACTATACTCTAAGGGATCCATTATAAGGGTACTATAATACATGGGCCTTAATAATCCTATAATCTTACCTTTGGTTAGTAGGGAATGGAAGACTGGTAGTAATAGTAGTTATAAATGTACCCCACTCCTTCTTTCCCTACTAACCAAAGGTAGGTATAGACCCTTGACCTCTCAACCTGCAAGCCCCTATTCACTCTGCCCCTACCTCTAGCCTCCATGGTAGTTCCTTCTTTGGGTAACCTCATAAGATCCTAGCTATAAGATGGTTTAATTTCGAAGAAGGAACTACAATGGAGACTACTTGAAGGATCAGTGGACTTATAACCCCAATTAAGTGCTTATAACCCTACTTGATAAGTCCCATGATCCTCCCAGTAGATCACCCCCCTAAACCCTAAACCCTACTGACCCTCGACCTTCCAAGAACCCTCAAGCCTTTCAGTTTGAGGCTTTGTAAGCTCATGGGCCAACCCTGTAGACCCTAGACGGTTTAGTGGGTCCAGGGTTTAGGGACCGTAAGCCGCTTTATCCCTAAACCCTTCTGCGAAAGAAAAAAATGTGATGGAAGCTTAGGTTCTACTTACCCGTGGAAGCAGACCCCACGGAGGCCCAGCGTGGCTGTGGAGTTGCTGAGATGCAGAGGTTAGAGTTTAGGGTGTAGGATCTAGGGTTTAGGGACGTCGAGGTTGGGGTTTCACATTGAGGTTTAGGGTTTAGGGTTTAGGGGTTGTGGCTTCGGCCGTTGGATTACTTCCGGGGCATCTTAGTGCAGCAATCTAAGATTCCCGATCTTCAACTGCAAACCCTAATCCTAAACCCTCTACGACTTCATTGCGGAATCCCTGTGGCAGGTGTGTAATCTGAGCGGCCTCGGCGGTGAGAAGGACCGGATGTTTATCGTGAGTGTTTTGCAAGTTTGGGAGTTGGGTCTTGGGGGTTCAGTGTTAGGGTAGGGCTCACGGCTCCTTTCCGGATGTTCGTCGCACTCTGTGTTGTTTACTTGCAGTAGGCATTTCCACCCTCCACTCTGAACACGTACAGTGCAACTTCATTCCGGTGGATGAAGTGTAGGCTGGGGTATGCGTGTCTTCCGGTGCACGGCACACCTCGTTCCGTTACCATAGCAGTTGCGACACCCTGAGAACTTAAACCCTAAACCTAAACCCTATAAACCCTATAATCCCTAAGATCCCTATAAGCCCTATATGCCCTAAACCCTTAATCCTTAACCCTAAACCCTATACACTATACACCAAAAAAATCCCTAAACCCTCTCTCATGGCCATCTTGGAGCTCCCAAGTTGGCAGGCCGAGTTTTCGGCGGTGCGCTGGGCACCCCTGGACGAGGCCCGAGGGGAGCAGCTCTAGACTTATAGGGAGTAGGGTGTAGGGTTACGCAAAAGGGTTACATAGGGTTTCGGGTATAGGGATAGATCGAGTTTAGGGCTTAGGGTTAAAACGGCTTAGGGGTTTAGGGTTAAATAGAGTGTAGGGTTTAGAGTTTCGGCAGTATAGGGTTTAAGGCTTTAGTCAATTAGGGTCTTTACCGGGG